AGTAGTTTATAGTTTAACTTAGTTTAAAGTAGTTTAAAGTTTAAAGTAGTTTAAAGTAGTTTATGGTTTAAAGTAGTTTAAAGTTTAAAGTAGTTTATAGTTTAAAGTAGTTTAAAGTTTAACTTAGTTTAAAGTAGTTTAAAGTAGTTAAAAGTTTTAAATAGTTTAAAGTTCAAAGTAGTTTAAAGGTTAAAGTATAGTTTCAAGTAATTAAATGTTGCTAGGGTGTTTGTAGTGGGTTGCTAAGGTGTTGTGGGTGGTTGCTAGGTGGTTGCTAATGTATTTTGAGTGGTTGCTAGGGTGTTCTGGGTGGTTGCTAGGTGGTTGCTAAGGTATTTTGGGTGGTTGCTAGGGTGTTAAGGTGGTTGCTAGGGTGTTCTAAGGTATTTTGGGTGGTTGCTATGGTGTTGCTAGGGTGTTCTACGGTATTTTGGGTGGTTGCTAGGGTGTTCTAAGGTATTTTGGGTGGTTGCTATGGTGTTGCTAGGGTGTTCTAATGTATTTTGGGTGGTTGCTAGGGTGTTCTAAGGTATTTTTGGTGGTTGCTAGGGTGTTCTAAGGTATTTTGGGTGGTTGCTAGGGTGTTCTAGGGTATTTTGGGTGGTTGCTAGGGTGTTCTAAGGTATTTTGGTTGGTTGCTAGGGTGTTCTACGGTATTTTAGGTGGTTGCTAGGGTGTTGCTAGGGTGTTCTAAGGTATTTTGGGTGGTTGCTAGGGTGTTCTGGGTGGTTGCTAGGGTGTTCTAAGGTATTTTTGGTGGTTGCTAGGGTGTTTTTGGTGGTTGCTAGGGTGTTCTAAGGTATTTTGGGTGGTTGCTAGGGTGTTGCTAGGGTGTTCTAAGGTATTTTGGGTGGTTGCTAGGGTGTTCTAAGGTATTTTTGGTGGTTGCTATGGTGTTGCTAGGGTGTTCTAATGTATTTTGAGCGGTTGCTAGGGTGTTCTGGGTGGTTGCTAGGGTGTTCTAAGGTATTTTTGGTGATTGCTAGGGTGTTCTGGGTGGTTGCTACGGTGTTCTAAGGTATTTTGGGTGGTTGCTAGGGTGTTGCTATGGTGTTCTAAGGTATTTTGGGTGGTTGCTAGGGTGTTCTAAGGTATTTTAGGAGGTTGCTATGGTGTTGCTAGGGTGTTCTAAGGTATTTTGAGCGGTTGCTAGGGTGTTCTGGGTGGTTGCTAGGGTGTTCTAAGGTATTTTTGGTGGTTGCTAGGGTGCTCTGGGTGGTTGCTAGGGTGTTCTAAGGTATTTTGGGTGGTTGCTAGGGTGTTGCTAGGGTGTTCTAAGGTATTTTGGGTGGTTGCTAGGGTGTTGCTACGGTGTTCTAAGGTATTTTGGGTGGTTGCTAGGGTGTTCTAAGGTATTTTAGGAGGTTGCTATGGTGTTGCTAGGGTGTTCTAAGGTATTTTGAGCGGTTGCTAGGGTGTTCTGGGTGGTTGCTAGGGTGTTCTAAGGTATTTTTGGTGGTTGCTAGGGTGCTCTGGGTGGTTGCTAGGGTGTTCTAAGGTATTTTGGGTGGTTGCTAGGGTGTTGCTAGGGTGTTCTAAGGTATTTTGGGTGGTTGCTAGGGTGTTGCTAGGGTGTTCTAAGGTATTTTGGGTGGTTGCTATGGTGTTCTAAGGTATTTCGGTTGGTTTCTAGGGTGTTCTGGGTGGTTGCTATGCAGTTGCTAGGGTGTTCTGGGTGTTTGCTATGGTGAACTATTTATGAGTTTAAAAGTTCATAAGTGTATGAATTCATGAGAGTTCATAAGTGTATGAATTCATGAGAGTTCATAAGTGTATGAATTAATGAATTTATAAGTTCATGAGTTTATAAGTATATGAATTTATGAGTTTAGAGTTTATAAGTTTAAATGAGTAAGAGTTCAGAGTTTATTAATTTATGAGTTTGAGTTCATAAGTGTATGATTTCATGAGTTTATAAGTGTACGAGTTTATGAGTTTAAAGTTTAAATTAGTTTGAAGTTTAAATTAGTTTGAAGTTTAAAGTGTAATTTAGTTTGAAGTTTAATTTAGTTTAAAGTAGATAGATAGATAGATGGATAAGTGTCATAGATATATGAGTTTATTAGTTTAATTGAGTCTCATTGGCTCATATAGTGTATAGAATGGCAGTTTGATTCAGTCTAGGGTTTCAAGGGATTTACATTTGAATTTTTGACAGTTGGGGAGTTTGAAAATCTGAAGATTCCGCAATGTAAAGTCAATGGGAGTTTTTTCCGAGTTTGATCGTAGTTTTTAGGAAAACCGTAAGTCCGATCAGTTAGAAAAGATATAGCACACTAAGTCAGAACAGTTTGAGTGTCCGTGCCGAGTTTGGAGTATGTGGAGTTAAAGCTCTAGGAGGAGTAGCAGTCAGAAATTTCAGAGTAAGAAAAAGAAGAATAACTAGAAAAAGTTCGTCGAGACAAACTTTAAGTTGGCTTGTGAAAGTTTGGACCGCAAAGTTTGAAGAAGTTTAAAGTAGTTTGAAGTTTAAATTAGTTTAAAGTTTAAATTAGTTTGAAGTTTAAATTAGTTTAAAGTAGTTTATAGTTTAACTTAGTTTAAAGTTTAAAGTAGTTTAAATTAATTTAAAGTTTAAATTAGTTTGAATTTTAAAGTAGTTTGAAGTTTAAATTAGTTTGAAAGTTAAAGTAGTTTAAAGTTTAAATAAGTTTGAATTTTAAAGTAGTTTGAAGTTTAAATTAGTTTAAAGTAGTTTAAAATAGTTTAAAGTTTTAAATAGTTTAAAGTTCAAAGTAGTTTAAAGGTTAAAGTATAGTTTCAAGTAATTAAATGTTGCTAGGGTGTTTCTAGTGGGTTGCTAAGGTGTTGTGGGTGGTTGCTAGGGGGTTTCTAAGGTATTTTGAGTGGTTGCTAGGGTGTTCTGGGTGGTTGCTAGGGTGTTCTAGAGTATTTTAGGTGGTTGCTATGGTGTTGCTAGGGTGTTTTAATGTATTTTGGGTGGTTGCTAGGGTGTTGTTAGGGTGTTCTAAGGTATTTTGGGTGGTTGCTATGGTGTTGCTAGGGTGTTCTAAGGTATTTTGGGTGGTTGCTAGGGTGTTGCTAGGTTGTTCTAAGGTATTTTGGGTGGTTGCTAGGGTGTTCATATGTATTTTGGGTGGTTTCTAGGGTGTTGCTAGGGTTTTCTAAGGCATTTTGGGTGGTTGCTAGGGTGTTCTGGGTGGTTGCTAGGGTGTTCTGAGGTATTTTGGGTGGTTGCTAGGGTGTTGCTAGGGTGTTCTAAAGCATTTTTGGTGGTTGCTAGGGTGTTCTGGGTGGTTGCTAGGGTGTTCTAAGGTATTTTGGGTGGTTGCTAGGGTGTTGCTAGGGTGCTCTAAGGTATTTTGGGTGGTTGCTATGGAGATGCTAGGGTGTTCTAAGGTATTGTGGGTGGTTGCTAGGGTGTTCTATGTGGTTGCTAGGGTGTTCTAGGGTATTTTAGGTGGTTGCTATGGTGTTGCTATGGTGTTTTAAGGTATTTTGGGTGGTTGCTAGGGTGTTGTTAGGGTGTTCTAAGGTATTTTGGGTGGTTGCTATGGTGTTGCTAGGGTGTTCTAAGTTATTTTGGGTGGTTGCTAGGGTGTTCTAAGGTGTTTTGGGTGGTTGCTAGGGTGTTGCTAGGGTGTTATAAGGCATTTTGGGTGGTTGCTAGGGTGTTGCTAGGGTGTTCTAAGGTATTTTGGGTGGTTGCTAGGGTGTTGCTAGGATGTTCTAAGGTATTTTTGGTGGTTGCTAGGGTTTTCTGGGTGGTTGCTAGGGTGTTCTAAGGTATTTTTGGTGGTTGCTAGGGTGTTCTGGGTGGTTGCTATGGTGTTCTAAGGTATTTTGGGTGGTTGCTAGGGTGTTGCTAGGATGTTCTGAGGTATTTCGGGTGGTTGCTAGGGTGTTGCTAGGGTGTTCTAAGGTATTTTTGGTGGTTGCTAGGGTGTTGCTAGGGTGTTCTACGGTATTTTGGGTGGTTGCTATGGTGTTGCTAGGGTGTTCTAAGGTATTTTGGGTGGTTGCTAGGGTGTTCTAAGTTATTTTGGGTGGTTGCTAGGGTGTTCTAAGGTATTTTGGGTGGTTGCTAGGGTGTTCTGGGTGGTTGCTAGGGTGTTCTAAGGTATATTATGTGGTTGCTTGGGTGTTCTAAGGTATTGTGGGTGGTTGCTATGGTGTTGCTAGGGTGTTCTAAGATATTTCAGTTGGTTTCTAGGGTGTTCTGGGTGGTTGCTATGCAGTTGCTAGGGTGTTCTGGGTGTTTTCTATGGTGAATTAAGCAACTATAATATGCTTTCTGTAATAGCACTGTTGTCCACTAGAGTTTATAAGTTTAAATGAGTAAGAGTTCAGAGTTTATTAATTTATGAGTTTGAGTTCATAAGTGTATGATTTCATGAGTTTATAAGTGTACGAGTTTATGAGTTTAAAGTTTAAATTAGTTTGAAGTTTAAATTAGTTTGAAGTTTAAAGTGTAATTTAGTTTGAAGTTTAATTTAGTTTAAAGTAGATAGATAGATAGATGGATAAGTGTCATAGATATATGAGTTTATTAGTTTAATTGAGTCTCATTGGCTCATATAGTGTATAGAATGGCAGTTTGATTCAGTCTAGGGTTTCAAGGGATTTACATTTGAATTTTTGACAGTTGGGGAGTTTGAAAATCTGAAGATTCCGCAATGTAAAGTCAATGGGAGTTTTTTCCGAGTTTGATCGTAGTTTTTAGGAAAACCGTAAGTCCGATCAGTTAGAAAAGATATAGCACACTAAGTCAGAACAGTTTGAGTGTCCGTGCCGAGTTTGGAGTATGTGGAGTTAAAGCTCTAGGAGGAGTAGCAGTCAGAAATTTCAGAGTAAGAAAAAGAAGAATAATAATAAGTTTAAGTACAATATCAGTAAGTTGGCTCTCACAAGCCAACTTAATAATAAGTTTAAGTACAATATCAGTAAGTTGGCTCTCACAAGCCAACTTAATAATAATAAGTTTAAGTACAATATCAGTAAGTTGGCTCTCCAAGCCAACTTAATGACACGGACAACTATTAAATCAAAGAACATTTTACTTAAAATACACAACATACAGACATACAAATAAAAGTGCTTGAGATTTTAAACTGTGCTTGAGACGAACACCACAGCAGAAGCGGCCCTCCGCAGACGTCACGGCTTGAGCTTGGCCCTCAGTCTCTCCAGCGTCTTCTGTAAGAGAGAGAGAGGGGTGCGTCACAAACCTCATCGTGTCCACATCTGCACAACACTGAACTACCGTGGCGAATCTTCAGGTCATAATTCACTCCAAAAGCAAAGAAATGAAAAGCTAGCGGGTGTGTGAAAGCTGAAGCGGTCCTCTCGGGCGTGAGCAGCAGCACTGGCTTGGTTTGGCTGCCATCAACGTGATCATGTGAGGAATGTTCCTGTGCACGGGTTAACCCATGTTTTCCCTTGAGAACCGTGTTTCCAGCCTTGGTGAGCCTCCTCCAGGCCCGTGACCCAGATCCTCCTCATGCTCGTGTGTGTGATGCGGCTCACCCTCTGGAAGTCTCTGGCTTTCTCCCGGTTCCTGGCGTACGCGTCCTGGCGGCTCCGGGACTCCTTCTGCTGCTTGACTTCCTCTAACTGACTGTACAATCTGAAACACGACAGGAAGTTCAGACACACACCACACTTATGTGGGTCGGTTTCATAGCAGAGCATATTCAGGGCTCCACATCTGAAGCACGGCACTGCTGATCTTACTCCAGCGTTTAAGACCACGCAGGGTCATGAATCACCACATGTGTGAATATACGTTCTGCCTTTATATGTTGGATCAAGGCCTTTCTTTCAGATGGACTGCAGAGAGTGTTTATGAATGGCATATCTTCATGAGAACTGGTTTTAAATACGAGCTCCACAGGGTTGTGTCTAGTTCCCACTTTTATTTTCAGTATATACCAATGAGCTACAAATGAAGAGTGTTTTTTATATTTGATTATTCCATTTCTGCGGTATACTTCTTGAATTCTTATGTTAGACCTACCTGAAAAAAACCATTGTTTAATTTGTATCTTTATTCTATTCTTTTCTATTAGGGGTGTCCCCGACTAAGGATTTTCATAGTCGAATCAGAATCGTCAAGTCTTCCCTATATTCGACTAATAGTCGAATTGTGTGTGGGGTTGGGGAGGGGGCGGGGCTTTAACATTTTAATGCCGCGATGTGCAGAACATCACACAAAGATATAGAAGAAAATGTATAAACATAACATTTCGGATCAATAAAACTAAGAAATAACTGCAGAAAGGCGCCACTGCAGACAGGATTTGCATTTCACATGCAAATCAAATTAAATTGGCTAAATGCCTGTGCGAGCACGCTCTAAGTACAACATCGATGCACCGAAAAATAATCAATTAATTTACAGAATTAAATTAGAACAGAATATACCTTTCTAATAAATAAAAAATACAAAACGAAATAAGTCAGAATCAAGTCACAAGATGCAGAACAAATGTGTGCAAAGTGCCTAAAGAGCAGGAGAACATATATTCAAAACAAGCCACAAATAGTTCAATTAGATAACCCTGAGTGATCAATAAAGTAAAAATAAAGAAATTATTAAAATAACAAAACTATAGCCAGAATTGTCAACTTTGTCTTTTTAACTGCAGAAACAACACGCTAAACTGGAGTGGCGGTTTAGCTAAACATGTTCACAGCATCCAAACATCACATTAGAAGCGGCTGAAATGTCTTGAAATCACTGATCGAGAGAGAAAAATCCAGTCTTTCACTCGGCCTGTGTCCGTTTGAGTCTTTTCAAATTGTGTGCGCGGATAAAATACACTCTAAAACGCTTAACGTGAAAAACGTTTAACGGCTTCATGTCCAAAGACAGTTATATTAAAAGATCAAATTCTGTACACACCTTATTAATAAAGCATATTATACAGCCTACAGAAAAGCAGATGAGCCCAGAATATGAACGCAACGCGCTTAAGTAAACGTTAATTTTCCTCCCGCTTTACGTGACTTTCTATAGGGACGTCCTGCGTGACGTCACGCCATTTGGAGCAGCCATCTTGACGGAATAGATAATGCTAAACCGCCGGTGATAATACAGCTCGTCGCGAAATATTCCTATCATGCCCGAGCGATGCTGTGCAGTTGGATGCGATCAGATACGTGATCATACAAAAGGAATATCTTTATACCGTATCCCAAAAGAAACAAAGCGGAGAAAAGTGGTTGGCGGCAATAAACAGGTAAAACGCACACATGCATTCCTAGATCAGTTAATTCGTTAGGCCTATTATCACATTACAGTCTTTCGTTTTCAAATACCAAAAGCTGATCTTGTATTTTATTTGACACTTCTTATAAATCGTTAGAAACACAGGGTGAGACAACAGTCTCAATGACAGTTTATCATACTACAGTGGCAGTCAGAGTGATAAGTATAAAAAAGTATATAACTTATAAGCATAGGCTATTATTTCGTTTTTCTTGGATCAAACTAGATTAAACAAATACATTAAAGATACACTTAATCTTGTTGGTGATTTTGTTTTGTGTTTTTCCCTGTAAACTCAAGTTTAAAAATTATTACAGGTACTATAATTTGGTGATAAAAATACATTGACCAACCTTTGCGGTGATGCTAATAATAAGTGCGATGACATGACGTGGTGGGGGAAAAAATCGATTCTGTTCAGTATCGAGATATTTTGCACCATGATTTTGCACATTCAATTATATCAATACTGTAGCGCAAAGTATTGCAATATTTATGCTAATTATATTATTAGTATAATAATATACTAATAATATATATTACCCGCCACGGCAATGGATCTATGAGTAGCCGACGGATGTATTCCGTCAAAATGGCTGGCACGCGGCTAGGGGTCACGTGACGGGGAGATCCCTATAAGAGGAGCGCGTTGCGTTCATATTCTGGGTTCTTCTGCTCATCTGCACACAGTATGGTTTCTTAATAAGGTGTGTACATACATTAAGCACGTAAAAGTGCCCTTTAAGCGTTTTAAAAGCTTTTTTCACATTAAGCGTTTTAGAATGTCCCGAGGAAAACCAACTTGTTAACGTTGTCCTGCAGTTCATGGTTTCCTGATGCTAAATCCAGCCTGGGAGAATACCCTTTCTGATGGTGTGCATCCACACTTTAGATTTTCTTATCCCAGACATTTTTAAAGATTTAAATCCCTGCCGCCAAAACGCTCCTCTCTCGGTCACGGATCGAAAGTGAAACTTAAATCTGTCAGAAGATTCGACGTGAGATTGGTAGTCGAGTCAGGCTCCTCCTATCGATGCACAACTTGCTACAAATTACAGTGTTCATGAGATGCCCGTGCCCAACTAGAGGCTGGAGCAGGAACATGTTTGCTCGGGTTGAGCAGATGTGCTTCGGTGAGCCGTACCTCTGTGTGCGCTGGTGCATCTCTGCCTCCTCCACGCGTCTCTGAGCGGCGCTGCAGATCCTGACCTCAGCGACACTCTTCAGTGCGTGTTCAGGCGTGCTCGCCTCATCAGCGTGCGCTGCGGTGGACACGCGCCGCTCGAGGCGTCTGGCTCTGATCTGAGCGACCCGGAGCGCTGACCTGTGAGCCAGAGCGTCCCGCCGCTGCCGCTGAGCAGGAGCGCTCTGAAACTCCAGCAGCATCACTGCAACACACACACACATCACTGCAACACACACGCTAGCGATAGGCACAATTAATCCCATTTCTAATCGCGATTAGGAATGCCACGATCACGTAATTGTTCAAAGCCGCGATTACAAAAAAAAAAAAAAAAAAAAAAAAAGAGTCCACTTCCATTATTCTGCGTGCTTAAGAGGTGTGTTTAGAGCACGTTACGTTGTGAGGGGCGAATCACGACTACTTCAGAGAACCAAATGTATTATAATAGGCCTATATAACTCCTAAAATAGTGGGTCGCGGGACTTGCGGCTTGATGACCATGGGGAAATGTGGGTCCCATGGCCAAACGGTATAAAGCCATTCAAAACATCATTCAATGTAAATTGTGATAATTTACTAATAATTTGTGGTAATTAATAAAATCGCAATTACAATACCAAGGGAATAATCGACAATTTAGATTTTTGTCATAATGGTGCAGCCCTAAGTCACGCCTTCATGAAGAGTTCAGGGCCTGAAAGTTTACCAACCAGCATGAGGGAACGACGGCTCTGGCTCCTCTGATTGGCTGTCGTCCTCCACCGGACGGCTCGGCGCTTGGCCCTACGAGAGACAGGATGTGTTAGGTCGGATTCTTAAAGGAGTCGTTCAATTTAAAATTAAAATTAGCGCATGATTTACTCAGCCTCAAGTCATCCAAGGTGTATATGACTGTCTTCTCTTAGACGAACACAGTCAGAGTTATTAATAAACACCCTGACGCTTCTGAGCTTTAAAATGCCAGTGGATTGCAACCATCAGATAGAAGCTCATAAAAGCGCATCCACCCATCAGAAGTGCTGCACAGGCTCTGGAGGATAATAAAGGCCTTCTGAAGCGATGCGTTCGTGTAGGAAAAATACTCATATTTAAAACTTAATCGACTAAAATAACTAGCTTCCGGCCAATCAACATACGGATTCGACTTAGCAGTACGTCACATTAGTTGCGTTTTACACTGATATTGACGCTACGCCATGACGCACTGCGCTACTTCTGACGTCACAAGCTGCGCTTTAGGCGCAAGTAGACTAGCGTATGCACTGCGCAAGAAAAATATCCATATTTAAAACTATATCAAGTTAAATTCTAGCTTCCAGCCATACGCAGTCTACTCAGGCCTAAAGCGCAACTTACGCAACTTGTGACGGCGGAAGTAGCGCAGTGCGTCATGGTGTAGCGTAAATATCAGCAGTACGTAGCATTACTCGCGTTTTACACCAAGTCGAATCCATATGTTCATTGGCCGGAAGCTAGTTATTTTACTTTATAAAAGTTTTAAATAGGTATATTTTTCCTAATAAAACTCATCTTTTTGCTTCAGAAGGCCTTTATTAACCCTCCAGAGCCGTGTGGAGCACTTTTATGATGGACAGATGCACTTTTATGATGGATTCATGCACTTTTATGATGGATAGATGCACTTTTATGATGGATTCATGCACTTTTATGATGGATAGATGCACTTTTATGATGGATTCATGCACTTTTATGATGGATAGATGCACTTTTATGATGGATTCATGCACTTTTATGATGGAATCATGCACTTTTATGATGGAATCATGCACTTTTATGATGGAATCATGCACTTTTATGATGGAATCATGCACTTTTATGATGGATTCATGCACTTTTATGATGGATTCATGCACTTTTATGATGGATTCATGCACTTTTATGATGGATTCATGCACTTTTATGATGGATTCATGCACTTTTATGATGGATTCATGCACTTTTATGATGGATTCATGCACTTTTATGATGGATTCATGCACTTTTATGATGGAATCATGCACTTTTATGATGGAATCATGCACTTTTATGATGGAATCATGCACTTTTATGATGGATTCATGCACTTTTAAGGACTTCGAACTAATGGTTGCCATGCACTACCATTATAAAACTCAGAAGAGCCAGGACATTTTTTAATATAACTATAATGGGCAAATTTTCATTTTAAAGCGAACGACTCTAAGAGGTGCTGCACGACGCGCACTCATCTGTGCCCTCACCTCACTGCGGTCAGATGTGCCCTCCTGTGGCTCACTCCCGGAGTCTTCACTGAGGTCCTGTAGGGTGGACTCCGGCAGGCTGATGAAGGAGATGGTGGACTCCTCCATGATGCCCTTCACGTCACCCGCCTCCTGGCAGGAGCAAGACTGGTTTACAGATGCGTTATCTGGGTGTCCTACATGATGGTGGTGTGTGTGTGACGCTCATACACGGCCTAACTCTAGTGAATGTGCTGCAGTACACCAGCATGAGTCGACTCAGGTTTAGCATTGTTGTGCTGCAGTTGGACACTCTTAAAGGGACCGTTCACCCAAAAATGCTAACAGTCTTTTTATCTTCATTCAAGATGATAATTTGGACAAACAACATTGGTCCTCATTGTACAGACTGACACAAAAAAAATATTATGTAATATCTAAACTGTCCCTTTTAGAAAACTTTAAGGAAGAAGCACGCCTGAAATGGTTTCTCTTACACCACCATTTAAGGGATTAGAAAAAGCGGTTTAACACACCTGGGGTCAGTTGCATAAACAATTATGTGAAGACAGTGTCTTAAGATCTAGTGTGACCCAGTTAGACAGTTAGTCAAGAGGCAGTCATTCTCACTCTTCAATACCAAATTAGGCCAATCTTCATTATGCAACTGATTTCAAACAGTTATGAACAGTATTACAGAAAAAAAAGTAGTTGTCTAACCTGCGAGACTAGTCTTTCTTAGGACTTCTGTGCTCATGTAAACCAGTCTGACAGGTTGTTATAGTGTGTGGGAGAACTAATGTTGTCTAATTTACGGGGCTGATCCAGCAATTTCTCTGAGGACAAATCTTAAAAGGAACCAGCTTGTTGGATTTTTCTTAAAGAACCAAAAACTTGCACCATGAGTGCAGCAGGCGTAATGATATGACGCAGCGCCTGAAAATAGTCCCCAGCTCGGTAACTTCCAACGTGACCGGGACTAAGTGCCTGCGCCTGCTGCACTCATGGTACGGCAGTGAAGTGTCTTGATTACTACGCAGGAATGAGAGTATAGTTCCTAGCCATATCAGCCTAGAAAATCGCAACTTTACATTTTCCGTCGGTCTTAGTGCACGATGTAACTACAGAAGAGTCAAGTTTTAAATAGGAAAAATATCGAAACTCTTTGGTCTTTTTTTTTGAGAAATGCTAATGGTCTTGTCCACTTCAATGATGTATGCTAAGCTATGCTAAAAGTGGTACCGCCAGAACCGGAGATCGGCTGAATGGATTCAAAAACGGTAAAACTCAACAGTTTAACTCTGGGGGAGTTGTAAAATGAGCCTATTTCCAAAAAAAGTGGAGTATCCCTTTAAGGCATGAAGAATGTTTTTCCAAGGAAAACCTTGGTGTAATTTTTGTAATTTTGGTGATCAGAGATGAGTTTTAAGGGATACCATTTTTGACCACAGGGGGACTTCAAACGTTTATGTACTGCAGGTGTGTGTTTTTTTTCCCGCTGAACTCAAAGAAGCGAGCACAAAGCTGTACGGTTTCTTAGACTCTACCTGTGCTCTCTCCAGAAGCTCGCTCAGCGTGTTTTCCTCCACAGCTGACATCACTTCCTGCGAGGGTAACTGGGCTGCGGGTGCAAGGCTTTCTTCCTGTAGACGGGTCTGGAGAGGGGAGCGTGGCACGAGACTAGCGTCCATGTCATGGGTCTCACAGAGGGACTCGTGGGTAAGAGAGAGCTGCTCCACAGACATCTGCAGGTCCGCCCGAGGCGGAGTCAGTGGGTCTGCGCGCAGGAGCTGCAGGGATTGGTCTGTCGAGTTCAGCCAATCAGAGGCCTCGTCCATGCTTACATCCGTGCCACACTTCTCTGCTTCCAGCGGGACACAGAGAGCCGCCGAACAGTCCACGCTCTCGTTGTTTGTGACATCAGAGGGCAGAGGAAGAAACAGATCTGAGGCGTCGTCTACGGCACAGAAAATAATGAACATCAGCAACTCCACTGAGCACTAGAACAATAACCAACTGTGAAAGAAAACGAACCGCTCCAGCAAGGCAGCAGTACAACACTGTTCATGTTTCAGACTTTTTTCCCTCCGGCAAATCACTTGTGCAAAAAGCAAAGTTTTTGCAGATTAAAAGACAGCTATGGAGTTATTACAATACTGTCATCCTCACTAGTGATGCACCCAAATTAAATTAAAGATCTCGTTTAGCAAAAACGATAACGTTTCTGAAAACAAAACATTAAATGGCTTTTAAATGTGGTGTAATGACATTGTTCTCGAGCTGTTTTACTGACGTCTTTCTGCGGTTGAAACGCTGATCGATTACATGAGACATGATTTATTTCAGGAAGTTGTACTGATTCTTTGCACTCGTTCATTCATGTTTATCTGGTGCTGTAACAAGTGGTAAAGAGGAAGAGGCGCTCGTTCACACACTACAGCATCTGTCACCTCACATCAGAGACACAAAACCACATTTATTGACTGAATTACGTGAAAAAATTTACAGAATTTGAAAGCTGAGACTGTTTCATATCAAAAGTATCACTTTTAATTCAGAACACAAAGCTTACTGTGATTATTGGACGGGAGGCGCGCTACACAAATACTGTTTTGTGATGTTTTATTCAGAAAACCGCTTAGACTAAAAGATCGTGGTTTATCAAAATGATGATCGATTATCATTTTGACGTCATTTGATGTCATAGCTAACATCAACACAGCTGACCGGTTTACTTGTACTTTATCCACATTGTGTGAACAAGAGAGACACTGACATGGTCAAAACACGCTAATTAAACGTCACTATTTCGGTCAATGATTTTGACCTTCAAAACTGTTCCGACCAAAACCAAAAATGAATGTGCATCACTCCTGTTGTTTAGATGAAGAACAGCAAGCAGCAGAAGGAACTATCCATTTTAGTACCGCTATAGTAAACTAAGAGAAATAATTAAAACATGTTTCACAGCACTATTTAAAAGCAGATTGGACAGATCCTTGGTGGCTCAGGTACAACCTTATTGTAAAGTGTTACTGCTTTGTTAATTAGTGAACATGAACTAAGAATAAACAGTTTTTCAGCATTTATTAATCTTAGTTCATTTTAATTTCAACATTTACTAATATGTGAACTAACATGAACAAACAATGAACAGCTGGATTTTTATTAACTAACATTAACAAAGATGACTGAATACTAATTATAATAACCAACATGAACTAACCATGTGCAATACATTTGTTAATGTTAACAAATTAACCTTATTGTAAAGCGTTACCAACAAAACTCTTAACGTTAGCTAACATTAGCATTCGCTCAGCAACACTCATCAATACCGTAACCAGCGGATAACAGCAGCTGTCAACAAATGTCACTCCCTTTTACCAGAACTTGGCAGGCATCGGCTACAGGAACTAAACGCTGCCAGCTTTTATTTTATTAAACAAGCGCCGTTGGCGTCCTTTTTTTACAAGAAAAATTTGACAAGTGTGAACACGCCTTTATCAGCGTTTTAGTTTCTTCAGTTACCTTACCTTGTGGGGCGTCAGTAGAAGTGCTCCTGTCCTCGTCTGAGTGCTGTGAGGCAGGTGACATCAGTGACCCGACCTCAGCGGGCCGCTCTGGACCGGAGCTGCTCACCACTGCAGCTGAAGCAACACAACATCAGTCAGAGCAATGAACCACACCGGCAGAGACGCCACCAAAGCCTCACATCATTACCTGTGCGGGCGCTGCTCTGATCAAACACCTGAGACGAACCCATATCTGACGCTCGGCCGATCAACTGGCTCACGGCAGACTGAAGGAGCTCAGCGCTCGAGTGCGAGTCTGAGCCGGTTGAGATGTGACCGGCAGAGGAGTGGCTGGAGTCTGAAGCCCTGTCCCTCTCAGAGGATGATGGACGGGGTTCACCGGGTCTGATGGATAACTGATCAGACAGGCGCTCAAGGATCCGGGTCACTGCCTCGCTCCAGCCCTGAAATGATCACGCCTAGACATTAGCATGGCAACAGAGTCAGGAGACTGTAAATGAGAAACATGCATGTGCGTGGCACCTGACGGCTCTGATCGGCTCTCACTACATTTCTAGATGAAGAAGAGGAAGATGATGAGGTGTCAATGTCTGGATGGGGCTGAAGCGGCAGGAAAGCACCTAAAAAAAACAACAACAAAAACCAAACGGCCATATCAGAATAAGCCGCTTAAAAAAAATGCGGTAACAAAAAAAAAAAAAAAAAAAAATCCACATTGAAATATTTAGATTTCAATGCAATTCAGAATATGGCTGCATGAATAGGAAGATTATTTCCCTTCATATTGTAAATGCCCTTATGCAGCGGTTAGTGAACCCTGACAATGGCTTTTCAAGGGCGGGTTCAGTCTACAGCCCTATTCGCACGGGATTAGTATCACCTGGTGACCTCTAGTAATTTGTAATAATTTGAGTAAAATCACAGGCTTCGGTTATCCCGTGCGAAACTCAGATGTGGCGGGGTAATTTCTAAATCACACGAGGTCCCCAGATAATACTAATCCAGCGCGAATAGGGCTTATGTCTGTCAAACAAAACAACAGCACAAGTCGGCTCGCTCTCTGATTTAACTTTGAAGTTATTACATTCAAGTTTTTAAAATAAGTTTAGACGATTTTAATATATTTTATAATGTTTTTAAATCACGATTAATCACAGAAAAAATGTGCATTATGCAGCATGATAAAAATGTATCTAAGTTTTCATTGTCTAAAACGCTCAAGCATTTAGTCGACTAAAACTTGACAAAAACAGAACAAAGTATGAATATGACTAGCCCTAAATATGATAAGACTAAATATGATTAAAAAAACATCTGACAAAATGACTGTAGACAAAAACTTAAACTTCATTAACCAGCCACTCTTCTCACATTTTTACCATATTTGAAAGAATTTGGCATAAAAAGTGTCCTACATTTCAGTAAAGCTTGACTGCCAAAACGGCAGATAAAAACAAGGCTTCTCAGGGCAGCGATGGGATTGGCTATTTGAGTTGGCTGTCATTTAAGTCGTAAAGTCAATTGCAATTTTAAATATCAATGAACAGATTTTACATTAAAAATACTATTTGTGCGGTGCAACTGTATCTCACGCTTAGAATTAAATGTAAATTGCACATCCAAACCGCACCACTTTTGTAAGTGACTCACACAAAACTATAATTCAGCCGACTGTCAGTCCTCAAACTTTATTGTGTGTGTGTGTCTCCTCTTAACAGCATGAAATACAACACGATTACATACAGAAGCGAGCAGAGAGCACTCTTTCTATTCAGTGGAGCGGTCAAGCACTTCATTTCAGCATGAGCTCACAAAGACCCGGCACAATGGGCCTCTTGTTCACATCGGCTCGCTCAGCTGGATAACGAGGACCGGTGAATGTCAGCCATTTGCAGTGGGTTTATTCTGTGCAGTGACTGTGTTCATGTGATCTTTGATGCCGCGGGAGCAAATGTAAGTGTAGTGCCACTTTTCCCCCAATAGGTAAAGTAATTGCGTCAGCTCTAATTCTGCTAATTCTTGATTGCGAGTAAAAGGAAGTGATTCTGTGTGTACGGCACCTGGAGCTGAGATGTGAGCGTCTCCCTCGTGAAGCGCACTGGACCAGGACTGACCCGCTGGACTGGTGTCCGCCACTCCTGCACAGAGAACACGTGAGCGTTCTGCACACACACACACACCTCACACTACAGGAGCCAGGGTTTACCTGCGTGTGTCAGTGAAGCGTGGAGCTCTTGGCTGTATCTGTCGATGATGCGCTGCACAGAGCGGCTCGTGTCAGCGGGGGACGGGACGCACACATCAGGATCCACACTGAGACCAGAATCCTCTGAGAAACACACGAGCTTCAGAGATCTCTTCTTCTGACGGACAGGACGTTCAGACGCATGTTCACTAGGGATGGGCACGAGTACTGGAGCGTACCAGCGACGAGATGTATAGATATATAGTACCGGTCCAGCAACGACTGACCATGAAAACAATGATATATATATATATATATATATATATATATATATATATATATATATATATATATATATATAGGAACACTTTTTTTTTTACTGACCCCTAACTTTTGAACGGTAGAGTATATTGTTACAAAAATATTTCTATTTCAAATAAATGCTGCTCTTTTTATTCAAAGAATATTTATATTTAAAATTGCAACAATATTTCACAACAGTTTTTTTTACCGCAATTAAAAGCATAAAAATAGTAATAAAAAAAAAAGTGACGTTTCCAAACTTTTGACCGGTACTTTATACACACTTTTTACTGATAGTTATGAAACAACTTACATTTGCACAAAACAAAAGGCTGCGAATGCCACACACACTTATAGTCATGAAGGTGTAACTCTAGCCTTTTAACGTGATATGGTCAAACACAGCACGCATGACCGCACGTTATATTGATTAAATCACTATTGACAATTAATCGATTGTATATATTTCAAAAGACAAAAAAAAAAAATTTGTCAGTTGTTTTTTTAACTATTGTTTAGATTTAATCAAAATTCTTTCATCAATTACTGAACACATGATGGTTATTGGTGAATGAAGTCAGTATTACAATGACTAAAATGCAATACATTCAGTCAATATAAAATAACATTTTAGCGCCCTCGAGTACTAATTTTTCAGACCTATCGAGAAGTCGAAACGAAAAACTGCCAGAAATGCCCATCCCTAATGTACACACTCTGTTTGTGAATGTAATGATCAAACACACCTGGCTCATGGTCGCTAGTGAAGTAGCTTCCCGTTGAGATCGTAGTGGATGAGAGATAGTCTGGATCAACAGATGATGGACAGCCAGCGCTAAACCGCTAGCAAACAGAGAATCGTTTTACACAGTGTGATTCTACACACACACACACACAGACCATCAGCTCATCGTCTGAGCTCAGTTCAAGTGTAGAGACCTTCATTAGCATACATGCAGAATTCACATGTACTTCAGGTACAAAACAGTTTCATCATTGCTCAAACACACGCTCACACATTTGCTCACACACACACACACACGCGCACACGCTCACACATTTGCTCTCTCACACACACACACACACACACTCACACTCACATACTCACACACATCAGCTTCTCTTAGCATAATCACTGGTGTGACGGCACGCTCAGATTTGGCTAGTTTTCATCACTGATCCATAAACTGTGGATCTCAGAATGAGTTAGCATGTCATCAGTGACGTCAGGTGTGTGTTACAGGAGCTGTTTCCTGCAGCGAGAGGGAGTCTTACCTCCTGCTGGAGCTTCATGAGGCACGGACCTGAGGAGGAGGAGGAGGAGGAGGAGGAGGAGGAGGAGGAGGAGGAGGAGGAGTCAACAGGAAGTGTTAAAGCACAAACAACAATCTATGGCTGCATGATATTGAGAAAAAAAAAATAGATATAAAAACTATTTCACCAGATGATTTATATAGCTCTATTTGAAAAGAATGAATCATTCTAGAATAATCGGGGTGATTTTGTAGGGGAGTGAATCTGCATAGAAAATTATAAACAAATTACAAGCATAGATAAATACAATAGAAGAAAGACAATTGAAATAAGCAGTGCTTTATGTTTTTCAGGTAAATCTAACCATATTCAGGTACAGAAATTGAATAATCAAATGTAAAATAAGTCATCACCGTAAATAAAATATAACTAATACACTTAATTACTACAATATATATTTGTTAAATCAACTAAAGTAATTTTCTCTTTCGTTGTTTGGTCTCCATTGGCGACACAAACAGCTGCGGGCACATTAGGCTGCTGTCCCTTTACGACCAACGCACAGAGCTAAGCATAAATGACACGCATCCGATTTCCTTAATTGTTTATAACGCATAACCGATTGCGCTTACGAGGGTATTTGCCGAGTACGCCATTTTGACTTCATTTTGCGTGCACGTGTCCGTTTAAGCTCAAAAGAAAGGAGGAGACCTGAATTGGGCGTTCACGTGCTGTCAGCACGGCTCTCTGTGTGTGCGCAGAAAACAGCGCACGAGTCACAGTCCTCTCGCTTGATGCCGGACCAGACTTACAAACACATGCAAATGAGAAACTTTCACTCTATGATGTTTAAACTTTACAATTATCCACGAATCACACGCGTTCTGAACCGGGGAGCACATACTTGCCATGCTACTACCGCGGATGCGCATGTCGATGCTAAAGCGGTACATCGTGCGGCCCTGCAAGCCTCTGCAGTGCAACCAAGCAAGGGAAGAAGCTGGCCAACTAAACACTGTGATTCTCTATAGACCACAATACACATTTGTTCATTAAACTCGATTTATTTTTATGATTCTGAATGTTTTTCAATAAAACTGTTATGGGGACGGGGGGTTGAAGAAATATTATTTCAGTTTAGATCTTGATTTGCGTTTCTAAAATATAAATAAATGTAAGATTATTATATTTTATTATGATACAATATAGTATTAATTTATTATGAGTCATCAACTCACACTTTGTTAAACTTAAACATTACGAGTTTAAAAGCATTTGTTTTAATTGAGTGTCAAACCTGTCCATCATGCACTTCTTTGCCTGTACTGGATTGGATGCATCCTGGAGCCCTTGGCTATACATGTATTATTAGATATAAATTAGGGCTGTCAAGCAATTAAAGTTTTCAAATTCAATTACATGATGTGGCGATCAACTACCCATAAAGCCACAGCAGATTAATTAAACAATATTAACTTCTTATTTATTGAACTGTTGTACAAAATCAATATTACATTTGCACTCGTGCTCTTCGGGACAAAAACAGCACTTGTATGATATTGACTCGTCACTCATGTGAAATGTGCCATTTTTGCCCCAATATCTTGAATTTTAGGGGCATGTGACTTATTTTTTTTTATAACTAAATTAACAAGTAAAAATGTATGATTTACACTGATAACGATTTGACAGCCCTGATTTATATGCACAGTCTATCCATGTTATTTAATTTTTATATTTTTTATAAATGAGAACTTGCATAGCAAAAGAATTAGCAACTAGTAGTAACGGTTAGAAACGGTCAGATCCTACATAGCACCATAGTACATAGTACTTCCCTGAACATGTGTGTATATACCTGGCGAGGCAGTGGAGTCCTGCAGGAGCATGTCTCTCCAGGACATGCGGCTGGTCCTGCCCGTGACCTGTGACCTCTCGCTCGGGCTGTGGCTGCCGGCAGAGGCGAGCGCGGGCAGAGACGCACTGCTGGACGCGCTCACATCAGCAGAAGACGTCTGCAGCTCTGCAGGAGCCAATCACAGCACACACACACACACGTGAGGTCAGACAGGATATGATGCGTGACACCTGCTGGAGCGTCAGTTGCTGGCGTACCTGTGTCCAGGCTGATGTTGAGGGGCGAGTCCACTTCCTGTATGGCGCTGAGCTCGTGCTGCTGCATCTGCCGGAGGAACCCCAGACGAGCGGGAGCTCGAGACACCGGGGGCTTCACTCTCACACGGGCCACCGGGGCCGGCTCACACACACCGTCTACAAGACACACAGCACGATTAGTGTGTGAGTGAGTGAACAATATCGATTTCTCGATTTTTAATCGACATTTCATCTAAAATGAACCCATATTACCTCCCAAGAATCAATCTTTTAGTCTGTGCTGTTTTCTGTTGATGTATGAATAAAACTTTACTACACATTATTTGCAGTGGTGGACGAAGTACACATACCATGTACTTGAGTAATATTTTACCTTGAGTATCTTTACTTTTACTCAAGTAAAAGCAGAAGTGCTGCCTTTAAACATTCACTTGAGTAAAAGTACAAAAGTATTTGCCTTCAAATGTACTTAAGTATCCAAGTACTTTGATTTTTTTTATGGCTATAATGTCCTATTATAATTTGTCACAAGACTCTTGCTTAACTCAGTCTAAGTGAAGACTAATGTCACTCTTGGCACACCAATCTATTAATGAAATGACATTAATGAATCTGATATATATATATATATATATATATATATATATATATATATTTGAATTGAATTCATTTGTGTGTTTAATTTTGGAGGGAAGGGGACTGTTCCCATAATGTATAACATTTACAGTATTTACTGTATATATTTTTCTCCAACGCCTATGGTCATAATTATTAACATCTTAATGTTATGATACATTCACATAAACCTGCACAACGCCATTAAATTATATATATATTCTATATTCTATGTTATGGGAGCCAATTTCCCTCCAAAATTAAACAAAAAACGTATTAATGCAGTTTTTCTGCTAGGCTACTCCCCAGAAAAAAAGCTATTATATGCAAGTCATTTTAGTGGCAACGTAAGCAATGTAGGCTACATTATGCTTAATACTTACCTAATCACTGTCACAACTATCCATGTTCGCAACTCTCATATTTAACGGCTCTGGTTGGCGCTTAGTAGATACCGCCAAGGCAAGTTCAAAACAAAGTGCGCGCGTGCTGTACTGTGATTGGTGGCTCGTTTGACCAGTTACGTTTTTATCCACTCATAAATAAAAAGGAACGACTGATTTTGAAAATGTAGTAGAGTAAAAAGTAAGATATTTGACTTTGAAATGTAGTGGAGTTAAAGTAAAAGTCTCCCAAAATTTAAATACTTAAGTAGCTTTTTTGCGTATCTGTACTTTACTCAAGTACAGTAACGAATTACATTTACTTCGTTACTGTCCACCACTGATTATTTGTAGCGCGCCTCCCAGTGAGGCCTGTGTTTACCGTTAGCGAGGGCCGGCGTGTCTCCGTCCCGCTGGATGGGTGCTGTCGGGGGTTTGGTGTGGCCGTTAGCCTCTTCAATGGCCTTCAGCAACGTGTTCAGAGTCATGTGATCCGCCTGAGCGCCACTAGAGCTGGACACTGAAGCCTGCCAGAGGAGCAGAGGTTCACTGTAAGGGTTAATTACACCATGCTCACTTTTGTGTGTCTGGATCTATTATATTACAGTGCAGAGTAACAGGCGATAGATCATAAATCGACATTTACTTTCACTCACCGGCCAATTTGGCTACAAAATTGTTAAGTTACCGGCCATTCAGAACTTCTACTAGCCAAAAAGAAGATTTCATACATTCATTTCTTATTCGAACTAAATCCTGTCATCCAGCCTCTCCTCCACTTCCTCTTTCATCCTCATCACCAGAATGTGTTTTAGGTGGACAGATCAATACAGCACAAAGAACATACAAAAAAATAGTTTAGGATGTTGGACAATAATAATGTATTTTCTGTTCACCAAATGCTCTTTAATTTTCGCTATTGCTTCAATGCAAATGAACAAGCGCGCCGTTATTTGTTGCGCAGTGACGAGTGTGTTCAAGTAAGCCAGATATGAGCAGATTCTGTGCAATACACTGTATTTAATATATCATGATGACTCACGAGTCCGAGCAGATTCGGTTTACACGAACTTCCCCAGCAAAGTTAGTAAACATAGTTTTAACTTACTCTAGTTTGGCGTGTTACTAATTATCAAGTGTTACAACATGGTGCGTAAATCCCCAAACTCTCTTTTTAAAAGCAGTTTTCTTTATCATTTCAAACTTGTTTACTTGTTTGTTTTTACCAAGCACAAAGAGAGTTCACAAGTAACTACACAAGAAATCTTTCCTGCTGTAACCCCTCTGAGATCTACTACAGGACAGTGAGCCGCGGGTCAGCTGAGGTTCACCTGTGTGTCAGCTGTGATCAGCGCCTGCAGGGCGTCTCGCTGTTGCCTCATGTGCCGCCTCCTCGTCGCCTCCGCCTCGCTCTGGACACCAGTGATGACATCAGCGGGGTGCAGCCGGCTGCGCAGGAGCTCCAGGACCACAGCGGGAGAAGGAAGAGGAGCACGGGCGTCCAGCAAGGGGCCCGAGCCGGCGGGTTCGGATGGGCGGAGCAGAGCCTGCTGTGGGAACAGATGCGCTTCCATGAGGATGGGGGGGGGGTGTTGTAAACCATTTATTCTGAAGCAATATTCTCATTAGTTTTCAATCAGCTTTGATATTTTTAAATATGCATATTGTCATATCTGCACCTTTAAAGGGCATTTTCCACCTAATCTTATTAAATGTATGTTTTTATCTTTTATTTTAAATTCCTAAATTTGATCAATACATTAAATTAGATTAATAAGACAATATTGGGCTGTTACCGTAGGTAGGGCTGATCAAATTAAATCTGTTAAAATTACAACTGCATTAAATAAATGTTATGAGATTGTTTTAAATATTTTTGAATATACAAATAAGAAACGTTGGAAAGAATGATACTTTTAAGCATAACACTAAATGAGCGAGCCACTGAGTCATTCCTTCAAACGATTCGTTCAAACAACTGATTCATTCAAGAATGAGGCCATTGTTTAGTAATGAGTCATTGAATCTTTGACTCAACCGATGTGTTCAAAACGCTGAATCATTCAGTAATGAAACACGGTTAACTTTTCCTGTGAGATGCGTTATGTTTCTGCTCTGATCTTAGATTGGAACCATTTTCACTGCTGAAACAGAACAAAAACGGGCAATATTGCGTCTAAAAATGTAAGCGAGTTAATTTGATCTGTTTTTTTGAACTGTATGAAATGAATGTCACATTTTCAATCTGATTTCAATTTTATTTGATTGTGTGCTTCTGACAACGCAAAGCGACCAAAAGTCCTGTTTTTATACGATTGACACTTCGCCTTTGGCTAAGCCACACCCTAGAATGTAGATTGACCAATCACAGCGCAGCCAAGAACGAGCTCCCACAGTGGTCCGACACTTTTTCACAGCGCTCCATTGACTTTAACACAGGCGTCTCATATTTTTGGTCTCGGCAGGCTATTACCATCGTAGTTTTATCAAAAATATGGTTAAATGTTGTGCCTGGGGCATTTGTAACACAGAAACGCGTTTCCCAGAGAGGTTGGAGGGGGGTGTCCGTTTTTTTCCCTTCCCAAACCGAAGTGAAATCCTGACAAGTGTTGTCTAGCACACGCTGCTAATAAACAACGTTATACTCGCGTAGTCCGTTTGCTTTGTAATAACGATTATAGAAGTGAACAGAGACCTACCCAGCTTTGCATGAACAGTGTTGCTCCTTGATATTGTTAGTCCCAGCCTCCGTCTCGATTAGTAGGATATGCGGTGGGTCATTTTTTGACTGTGACCGGTATGCTTTTGCCTCTATTTGGATGCCTTGTTGTCCCTTGCGTTTCACCTGTATGTCGTGAATATAGCCTTCGAGCGTATATTGCAGCCCCTTTTGCCTACTTCTATCGGACACTTTATTTGCTGCTGTATAAAAGTTTGATACAATTTCAGCAGGAAGAGCTGTCACAGCATAAGCCATGTTGATACCAGAGCCCAGATGAAGTTTGTTTGTCGGACGTAGCAACAGTAACTAAGGGGGGCGGGGCTTAGCCAAAGGCGAATTCTAAACCCAACTACTAATATTTTATCTGAGGCCTCTTTTGAGCTTTGTGAAGATTTTTTAAAACATTTCACTCAAAAAGTATGATATTAGAAGCTCTATTGTTCCCTCTGAACCAGGTCACTTGCAACTGAGTTGTCTGTCTAACTTTACACCTGTCTCTCCAACTCAGCTAGCTGATATAATCTCTACTATGAAGTGTTCTGGTTCTAAGTTAGATATTATCCCAGCTCGTCTTTTTAAGGATGTTTTTTCTACCATTAGTCATATGTTAACCGCAATCATAAACAGCTCTTTAGCCGAAGGTGTCGTTCCAGCTAGTTTTAAACATGCAATTGTGCAACCCATGTTGAAAAAAAAAAACCCAACTTGATCCAGAAATGTGCAGTAACTATCGACCGATCTCTAAACTGCCCTTTATCTCTAAGCTTTTAGAGAAAGTAGTTCTCACAGCTCGTTTTATTTGAATTCTTTTAATATGTTGGACATGTTTGAATCTGGCTTTAGATCATTGCATAGCACTGAGTCAGCTCTGTTGAGGGTTACAAATGACATCTTGCTTGCTCTGGATTCAGGCTCTTGTGTTGTGCTGGTTTTGTTGGACCTGAGCGTTGCATTTGATACCACTCTCCACAACGTTCTTCTTGAACGGCTAGAATGTATGGTAGGTGTCAAAAAGAGGACTTTTTCTGTAAATTTAGGAAATTGTTCCTCGTCATCTGCGCCCGTTTTGTTTGGTGTGCCCCAGGGATCCGTTTTGGGACCGTTATTGTTTTCCCTTTATTTGCTCCCCTTGGCCCACATTTTGCAGAAGCACAGCATTTCATATCACTGCTATGCAGATGATTCTCAGCTTTACCTTCCAGTAAGGCTTGACAACACTGCTTCATTTGATGTTTTATTGGAATGTGTAGATGATATCAAGAGGTGGATGACAATTTTCTGCAGCTAAATGAAGATAAAACCAAGGTTAATTCTGGGTTGTCCGGCAGATTCCTCTCCCGCTCTGAAAGCCCAGTTAGGTCCTCTCTCAACAAACGCATGCAAACGAATCAAAAACCTTGGAGTGATCTTTGACTCTTCACTATTTTTTGATAAAATTAGTGCTGTTATTAGAGGAAGCTTTTTCCATTTAAGATCTATTGCAAAGTTGAAGCACCTTTTTTCAAGCAAAGATTTAGAAGTTGCAATTCATGCATTTGTAACATCACGATTAGACTATTGCAACTCTCTTTATTCTGGTCTTCCTCAATCTTCACTATCTCGATTACAAATTGGTCAAAATGCAGCTGCAAGACTGTTGACTGGGTCTAGAAAGAGGGATCATATTTCTCCTGTTTTGGCATCGCTTCACTGGCATCCCATTAAGTTTAGAGTTGGTTTTAAGATCCTTATGTTTGTTTATAAGGCGTTGTCTGGCCGCGCACCAAGGTATATTTGTGATCTTATTGTGCCATACGGTCCTGCTAGGGCACTTAGATCTTCAAATCACTTGCTTTTAAATGTGTCACGATGTCGCTACAAATCAAAGGGTGATCGGGCCTTTTCTGTGGCTGGGCCCAAGCTTTGGACTGGTCTCCCGTATCATGTGAGGTCTGCTCCTTCATAGGACATTTTTAAATCTACTCTTAAAACAAATTTTTATTCTTTAGCTTTTGGAAACTTGTAATTTTTTTTTTTTTTATAGTGTAGTCCTGCTATGCACTATGTACAGCACTTTAGGTCGATTTGTATTGTGTTAAATGTGCTTTATAAATAAAGGTTGTTGTTGAACAGGAGTGCCTGTGGTCGAGCACTGACCTGTGGAAGTGCTGGAAGCGGACTAGCCGGTTCTCCTCCTGGAAGAGCCGAGCGTGTGCCGTCACTGACGGGCTCTGAGCTCACTGACGGCTGCTGGAGTGACGCTCGTAGCTTCAGTGTGTGTTGATACTCCTGCAGGCGTCGCCGCGCTTCCTCCACGCTCTTCTGATGAAGCCTGTGGGAAGAGCGCAGGCACAGCGTCACACATCTGCTGCATCACGAGCATCTCTGCTGATGGTGAGCCGGTCTGACCTGTTCTGCTGCAGGAGTCTCTGCTGGTACTGATGGAGTCTCTGCGTGTGTGGCTCATCTGCGTCAACCTACACACACACACACACACACAACTGTTTTATGGGCCGGAGAGAAATATTACATTTTATCCCGTGTTTTTTTGGTGCTTGCATAATGTGTTGCCACTAGTGTGGTCACGATTCCTTGATTAAATTTGAATACTAAATTTTTCAAACATCCTCGATTTCAGTTTACTAGGATCGAGTAACCAGCAAAATACCGGAAGTGGCTCCTTCCACTAAGTGAGCATTAGACCCTAAACTAAAGGGTTACTTTTTATTAAAAATCATAACCTCATTGGGGGCCGAGCCCCTCTAAAATGAAAATCCTAGAATCGCTCCCGTCTATAGCATAAAAAATGAATTGTCAGAACGTTGTCTCTCAGTTGTTGAATGTCACGCAGACATTGCCACAACGTAAATGTGTTTGCTGCTACTTGGCCGGCATTCTGTCAAATTTTTAAACCCGGTATGGCCCTTGAGCCAAAAAGTTTGCCATACATCGGTTAATGGAAATGCCGTCATTTCACAATAGTTATAAAAGTTTAGCACAAATCTGTAATGGAAAGCAGCTAATATACAAATTATGGAAAGTTGTTTTTTTATGGAAAGTTGGTTTATGAAAAGTTACTGCTGAATTTTCCCATTTCTTAAAGGGAACTTAAAAGTTTTTTTGTGCAAGTGCAGAGTTATGGTGTGAACAGTCTGGTTGAGGAGGCGTTTCAGTGTACAGACGCACCTCTGGAGGCGCTGCGCTCTCCGGGAGCCCAGGACGGCTCTGAGCTTCATCATCCTGCAGCGTGTGGCTCCTCTGCGTCTCTATCAGGCGCTGCTCAAGCTCACGCCGCTTCTGCTCCAGCTCCTCTAGCACCGCCAGCTGCTCCTGCTGCCGGCTCAACAGCGCCGCCTCCTGGACACAGCAACACCTCACAGTTCTACTGACAGAACACTACCAACTGCCTCTGAGGACCTCAGTGTTGCGTTTATACTGAAGATACAACTTTTAATAGTTGGCTAGATGCTCTGGAGTCTCATTTAATGCTAGAAATATCCTAGTGCCCATATTATGCCATTTTAAGGATTCTTAATGTTGTTTTGGACTCATCCTTTTGAAGTTAGAACAACGGCGGTGGTACGGCATAACCTTTTTTTGTATGTGAATGAATGCCGTTTTTCACGTGAATATTATGACACGAGTGAAGCACAAAGCTTTGTATGCAAAATAAATAATAGATTAGCAATTAAAAGTTACAGCGCAACCATAGAAACATTTGGATTTGTGCCCAAAATGGGAAACATGAGCCCATTCATCATTTAAGTCATTTGTTGACTATGTATTTCACTGGACATGAAATCTCATGGAATCTTTTTTCTTTACCCAAATCTTTACTAGCGTCTCACCCATTTTCGAAAGGGGATAATAAACCTTTCTTCCTTTCGTTCACTTTTAATTGCAATATTCACATTTACTGTTGTAAAATGGAAAAATGCTGTAGGACAGATACATTTTTACTTGCACATCAAATTCTATGTAACACAGTGTGTGCTTGTTGGACTTGGCAAAGCAAGTCAAGTTTATTTGTAGAATGAATTTCACACACGTTGGTAAATTTAGTTTCGCTTTCTCTGGCAGCGAAACATCAAACGCAGCCTAAATGTCTTGCACCTGCGAGAGAGAAAATTCACTCTTCAGAGCTTCAACAACCATCAGTTGCTTCTGGACTTCAGGACAAGACATGAAGATGCTAGACATGAAGATATGAGACGTCTCTGTCCTGCTCGCGTCCCATATCCCTCTCAAAGCACAGAGCGATAGATATATGGACACATTTATATTTGTGGGGAAATAATTATAATTTAATATTTAACTTTACCATGATTTAGTGATATTTATTTTAATGTTTAACAGGCTGTAGTTTGTATGGCGGGGCAAAGCAGATGTCGTTCGCAGGCAGTCAATAAAGCCCATAGGCTGGCATTGGGCAAATTTGTTACGTTTCGTAGGTATCAGTGTTGGGAAAGTTCATTTTCTACATGAACTAGTTCAAAAGTTCAGTTCACAAATTTTAAAATGAACTAGTTCAGTTCATAGTTCATACTTCAAAAAATGAACTAGTTCATAGTTCTTTTTTCCATATGTTGCTGCGAGCTTTTTAAAAAAAAATTTATTATTGCCACAGCCCATATACAACCACAGACAGCAATTATTTTATCGACGGGCAAAGTTTGCACAGAAATGTAAGATTTTCCCATCCTCATTCCTCACCGACCTTGTCATAAAACTCGTTTAAATGATCATACGACGCCTCCTCGCTGCTTCGTCGACTACATGCTGCTTTTTGTTTTGATGACGCATGCGGCGGCCGCGGTGCGACACTGGTGGCTGGTGTTGCCAGATTGGGTGTTTTTTTCCGCTACATATTAAGGCCTGTTTACGTGTGTTTTAGCCGGGTTTTCGCCTGGAAGGCACTATAGAAATCTGGCACCCTATTGAACGAAGTTAAACTGAGAGAGCGTGCGTTCACAGACACCAGAATGAACGAGTTCACAGTAACGTTCATCAGGCAGTAATACAGTACGTTCAGTTCACGTTCGCCCAAAATATGAACGAGTTCATGAACTATCGTTCATTGAACCCGTTCAGGCACAACACTGGTATATAACAGGAAGGCTGGAATTACTGACGATTTGTTTAGGCAGTTCAGAATCGGTTCTTTCTTATAGGAGACGATAACTTTATTTGTCGGACATTTCGATCTGTGAAACTTTGCATACCTTTTACATTCACAAACTACAAGAAAGCCGGGAATATTTGAAAAACCATAGTGGCACTTTAACAGAATGACGACTGAGCTCAGTTCAAGTGTAGAGACCCTCATGAAGCGTGTGTTTTTCACAAGCATTCAGGTACCAGTAGTTTCACATCACAGCTCAGCCGCTTGACCGGCGCCTGAAGGACCTGCAGTGTACGGGAACGCCCCATGTAAAGCACAGGGAGACTGAGGAGTGAACTCACGTGGGCTGCTCTCCTCTGGCTCTCGGCGGACGCCGGCTCCGGCTGGCCTCGCTCCTCTGGCGGCAGCAGCGTTCCTGCCACGACGGCTTCATCGCTCACGTCAGGCCCTGAGCAGCGACAGCACAGCACCAATCAGCAGCAGACACGAGCCAGAGTGACACTGATACTATTCATTAGGGGTGTAACGATGCTCGTATTCGTATTGAACCGTTCGGTATGAGGCTCTTCGGTTCAGTACGCATTACAAACCAAACGATTCGTTAGACCATTTTTCCTGCTGGTGCGATCACAACGTTTCCCAACATCAAATGGCAAACTTAAAGAAAGCGGAACGAAACTGCGTTACTCATTTTGTGCTTCACAGACCGTTTATCAGTTTGGACCATCAATGTCAGTGCGAGCCGATCTTGATCAAACACTGTAACTACACAGCGCTAAGAGATCCAGTGAAGAAAGCATTTAAGTTTGTCACAGAAGTAAAAACACCGCTGCGAGATCTAGTGAGAAGCATTAAATAAACCGTAGATCTCTATTAGATCAAACAGCACTGATGTGGAAACCAGGAGAAACATTTAAGTCCACAGATCAGCAACATTCACCGTGGATTTACTGTAGTGACACTAACTGTAACCATGGAAGTGTGGCAGGAATAGTTAAATGCGTCACACATCTTTTTCCAGCACTTCAAAACTCAAATATCATATTTAAATTATAATTTTAATGTGATGACCAAAACATTATTTGTTCATCCTTCAAAGATCACCCCCATTTATAAAGCTAAAAGTTTCCAGACGTAGGAAACCTCAAATATTATTTAAAAATAACTTGGTTAAAGGTGCTCTAAGCGATGTTGGGTGGCGTCACTTCTGGTTCATGTTCGAAGTGTTGTCAAACAAAACGTAGGCTAGCTCGATCCTCCTCCTCATCCCGAGTTAGATAAATGCTTTCATATAATACTGAAAAAGAGAAACATTACCAGAAACACACGATAAAACGTTTCGCCACCAGAGGTTATAACTGTAGCTCCCATACAAGGACGCAATAATAGCAAGATAACGTTAGCTTCGTGTTTCCCAGTGAGCATAAACAACGGCTCCGTCGTAAACAAATTTAGTCAAAGTTGTCAATAGGCTATGAATGATCATTAAAAATTCATAACAAACAGTGAAAACAATCATTCACACAAACTGTAGGCCTACTGTGAGTTTGCTTGATCATTTACAATAGAGATCGATCGCTAGCTGCTAGAAACCTGTATGTTGTATCCACCAAAGTTAGCGCTGACTGCATTGTTCTAGCTAATTATATCCTTGTGTTTGTTAGGCGAACATGAACGTCCATTTAAAAAAAAAAAACTGGCTTTATCCCCTTCCAGCAAACACAGAGCTCCTGAATGTCTGGAGATCTCGCCACCTTTCAAAGGCTTTTCCGATGTAAATTCAGGACTTTGCGCGTTCCTTCTTTTCATTTTTGCAATCTGTTCATCGGAGCGTCGTCTCTTTGGTCGTGTGTCGGCCATATCAAACTTAAAGAGTTATAATTCTAACTTCCCTCTTCATGCTTCTCTCTCCTCCACTACCCCTTCATGTGCACGCGCACAAACCCCGCCCCCAAACCCTTCTAGTCGGTGATTGGCTGGAACACTGTTTCAGGGGACAGGCAGCTAGCGGATAGTGAGGAGATGTTTGCTGTATGTGAAAAAACGCGTGACATCGTTTAGGAGCACCTTTAACACTTATTTAAAAATAAAAAAAGGACACAATTTTTAAAAATCAAGGACATTTCTCTGGCATTTCTTTCTTTTTGCTGTATCAAAACCGTACCGAACCGTGACACCACTGCGTCGTATCGAACCGTGAATTTTGTGAACCGTGAATTTTGTGAACCGTTACACCCCTATTATTTATATACTGAAAAATAAGTGAAATGCTTAAAGTTACACACATAAATGATCAGATCAAGCACAAATGCATGAAATGTGTCAGTGGTGTGTGGATTGGAGAAATCCATGTGTCCTTTACTTGGGTTGTGCATTTCTGTGCAACCCTACTCTTATCCTCAATATTTAGAAATAGTCCCAGATGCAGGATATTGTTCTTCGTGAACACGGAGTTGTATAAAGTAGTATAAAAACTACATGTGCATATGGGGGGGGGGGTAAAATTGCCGTGTACAGTGTAAAATGCCGATTAGGCAACTACACATTTAAGGCTATACTGTAATTATTTACTGTATTTAGCAAATAATGTTCTCAAGAAAGTTGAATTCAGAATGTTTCCCCCTTTAATCCAGTAAGCACTTACTATACCACAAGTGTATAGTTAATAAATAGTTTAATTATTGTACAACGTGAAGAGCCAATAAGCGCATCCTTAAAAACAGACGTGTGCAAGAGACGAACGATGTGGAAGCGTTACCGTCGTCAGTGTGCGCTAGGCTGGGCGTCTGTTCTTCTAAACTGCCCTCTGGTGCTTTTTCCTGGCTGCTCAAAGATCCCGTTTCAACACTCAAGACTTCCACATCAGCGTCTCCCTCGTGTGACGTCAGTGTTGCGGCCCGCTGGCGGTCTCTCTGGCTCCTGATGCGGTCCAGCAGTCTCCTCAGAGCGTGTCTACCAGGATCTGCCGAACACAAGAAAGAATATCATCATCATCATCATGGCGGTCCCGTCACTGCAGATCTGACATGCTCCTCTCTGATTGGCTGCCCACCGGGTGTTTCAGAGGGTGTTTCCTCCCCTTCAGGTGCACATTCAGGGTCAAGGGTCACGTCCAGCTCCTCGTCATGACTGGCAGCAGACAGAGGAGGAAGAGGTTCGGGTACCAGCTGCAGCACCACGTCACCTTTGACCTCTGGAGAAGACCAAATGATGGAAAGCAGTCAATATGCAGAAGAGATCTTAATATGCATTAGGGCTGTCAATTTAAAATTCGAATATTCATCAAATTTATAAAACAAAAATAAACTGCCATTTTGCCAGCACTAGTATGCATCACCACATCCAGAGCAAGAACACACAGTTCATGTCTGGAGCACAAGCTCCACTGAGGTGGGTCAGGTTCTGCATATCAGGGGAATCCTTTTAATAGAGCTCATCTGACGATGAAGCGTCTGTAATTTGGCAGTGGAGTGAAAGCACATACTGCGCTCCTGCGTGTACACGTCCTGAAAGGCGATCTCCAGCTCCCGCTGCTGCTCGTCCCGGAGCTCCTCGTGTCTGTAGAGAGGCTGGAAGATCTGCGCCGGCACACTGTGGACCGCCTGTCTGCGGCGCAGCAGATCAGCCGTCTGCAGTCGCTCCAGCTCGGAGAGCAGCCGCGCACGGTCCTGCGCACACACACACACGTGTAGCACAGTTCATACACTATGGCCATTCAAACTGCTTTACATAGAAAGCAATTAAAATAATCACAAAATAAAAGCAAGGGAAATTAAAAGAGATATGATACAGGTATAAAATGAATTGAGAGTAAAAAGAAGAAACCTATATAAACTTGGCAAAACAAATTTTTCACACCTCCCAGTTTTACTCTAAGATTGGTGACCATGGTGATCTCACAGACACACTCACTGAGCCGTGTGGTGTAGCGGCTGTACCTGTGTGTGCTGCTCTCTGCGGAGCGCGTGTGTCCCCCTGAGACGAGCCTTCTCCAGCTGCTCCTGCCGCTCACGAGCCGCCTCTCTCCGCAGATCCTCCACTCGCTGGAGCTCCAGAGCCGCGGCCTGTCGAGCGCTCGGCTGAGCAGAAACACCACAGCATCCAGTCAAGCCCCTTTCACCAAGCAAGAGCCACACGAGAGGAGCCCACTAGTACTTGCTTTGGCTTGACGGAATATAGAGCATTATTGACCGCCCAATGCGCCCATCATTTCCAGCAGCGTTGGTTCCGGAGTATTTTTTCCACTCATTTCTCCCATAGGGATTTCGAAAAACGTCTTTGTTACAGTTTTTCTCAATTGCTAAAACACTAAACCCTATTGTCTGAACCAAATGCTCGGTTGCCTGAACCCACTGATTGAATCAATCACTCTTTTGGCAAAACCATAAGCACTTTTCACCTGTTTAGACACAACTTGCCAACACATTTTCATTGTGATGCACCCGTGCTGCATAATGGTGAGCACAGGTGACAAAAGTCAAACACAATTAAAGCACATGTGTCACCACTTGAACACAACAACTCAAAATTGATCACACTTGTGGCTAATGATGTGAGGGAACATATACAGTACGCCAGTTCAGAGAGCACTGGTTTGTGAGGCCCTACAATGGATAGAAATCTGAGGGGATTCTGAGAGAATTCACAGAGCCCTCCAGGTTTGAGAGTGGTTCAATATGAACCAAGGTTTTATCAATCTTTGCCTTCCACCGTACTCCCCTCTCCTAAACCCCATTGAGGATTCTTCTCCTCATGGCGGTGGAAGGTATACGAACGCCAACCTTACACCAGGGTAAATCTCCTGCAAGCCATGGGACTTGCCTGTGGTGACTTAGGTGTGGAGGCATGCCAAGCCTGGATACGGCATGCCAGGGTTTTTTCCCCGTTGCCTGAACAGACAAAATGTGGCCTGTGATTTGGATGAAGTCCTGTGGCCTGACCCAGTACGGAGACATGAGCTAAGTAATGCACTTATTTGTATATTTTTGTACTTTATTTTTACATGGGCTTACTGTACACAAGTGGCAAACGCATAAGATTTCTGTTTGTTTTTACAAGTGCTACGTGTAAATGCACAAGATGCACTGTTTTTTTTGTTTTGCAACATGCATTTAGCCTACAGTGAACAATAAACATTTATTTCTCCAGCTTCATGTCCTGAGCATTGTGTTTTCTATTTTTCTACGTAGTGTTTAGTGACTGTTCAGTAGTGTTTTTCAATTTTGATTGACTTGGGGCACAATTTGACAACATAGTTCAGTTTTGAGCACAGAATGAACTGTTTTGAGGTGAAAGTTTGGTTTTGCAAGAAGAGTGAGGTTTTGTGAATGTAGCTTGAAAATTGGGTTTTGTGTTCACAGTTTAGAGAAGGAGAGCAGCTTTCAAGAAATGTGTCTTAGCAATCGAGAAAAACTGTAAAGAGTTAGGGTGTGTTCACACTTGTAGTTCGGTTTGCTTGGTTCATTTGGTAGAAACCCCATATTAAGTCCTGGTCCGCTTAGCGTTCACATTGGCATTTTAACACTGAATCTAAAGATACAGAACCTAACACCGTGTCCTAACTACACGCGGCGCGCGATAAAAGGGATCTTTTCCACGTTAATCAGAGCTTTTGTCCTAACCAGCCACGACGGCCTCGATTCTATTTTAAAAAACTGTTTCCATTTTTCTGCGACGTAGCGCTGGAACAAACAAAGTGTGGCAATGATAATCTCAGCCACTGTTTATGTGCTTTATTTAAGGTTAAAAGCGTGTAATAATAATTTGAATATCATTTAGTGCTCCAGCTTTGTAGCTGTGAAAGCAACAATGGATAATTCACCTCAGATCTTGAAATTAAACAAATGGAAACAAGAACGTTTAAACTGTGAACAAACAAGTGTATTCTTTGACAAAGATTGTTTTAGTAACTCAGTAGCCTATGTATTTTTAATAATGTTTAAATGGTGTAATATTTGTGAATTTGATTATGTAGCTAGCTGCAACTAACGATTATTTTGATAATCGATTAATCGGACGATTATTTTTTCGATTAATCGGATAAAAAAATCCACTTCGATTTTTTTTTTATTATAACTACATAAAACCCTAAATCAGGGTTGTGGCGAGCAGGACGAGGCCGAGGGACGTGAGAGATGCGAAACCGGTGCGTCTCACAGGTGTCGTTCATTATCACTCACGCCACCGGCCTCGCGCCGCTCTCTGACGTCCCTCGGCCTCGCCCTGCTCGCCACAAGGGTATTTATGTGTAAAAGTGTACTTTAAAAAGTGCAAAAGACATAATATCAATATTTGCTTTGTCTTTAATGATAATTGCTGAAGGCAAGTTGACAACCCAGATTAATGTAAATTAAAAATTATATCCAACATATGTTTTAACACAATTTTTGTTAAAACAAATTTACACAGACATGTTGTTCAGATGTGAAGATATAAACTAAAAACATCTCAAATATAGAATTCATTTAATTTTTATTTAAAATTATTTTAATTATAAGAAGAATAATTGATAAAATAAATATAGAAAGACTGTAAACAAGCGTGTGAACGTAGAGCCGCAGTAGATCGCGTTTGAAAAACAATTAAAACTTAATAGTAGACAAATGCTATAAAAAGAGAGCGGAATGGAAGTACGCAGCAAGTTAACAGGCTTGATTAAAAGGACAGGAAAAATGATGCATTAGTGCACAAGCATTCGCTGAAAACCACTGAGTACAGTGACTAAAAAACAATCTTTTACTGCTGCTGTTATTAACTGCCTTTAATTTAGTGCTTCACTTTGTAAACACCGTTTTAATTTAACCTATTTCTGCGGTAGCACTATTTTAATACATCACTTATGTTGCGAGCGAACTGATTGCGCAACCTGATGCTCGAGACAAAATACAGACATCCCAAGTCTTGCGGAAGTTCCGGAAGTCTCCCGCATATTGATAGCGGCTCCCTGATGCCCGCAAATTACTTCAAACCCCCGGCATCTAGAGCGCGCGAGCAAGAGCGCGCATGCGAGACAGAAGAGACTGTGCTCCAAACATAGACTGTAAGATCTTGGTCTCTGCGCGCACGGCAGATCGGCGAAGGGAGAGAGACCTTGCGTGTGTCTCATGAAGCGCAGCGCATGTAAGACAGAGAGCATCATGATTGGCCTGTTTCAACCAATCACCAGTAAACGCACCCCGTGACGTAAGCAGACCAACTAATCGATAATGACATTCGTTGACAACTATTTTAATAATCGATTTTAATCGATTAAATCGATTAGTTGTTTCAGCCCTAGTAGCTACTTATCCATTTTCTTGCGAGTGCCGTCAGGATTACTCTCTGGTGCCGCGAGACTCCGCCCACACACTGTTCTGATTGGCTGTGGGTTTTGATTGATTTTGACGCATCTCGCAGTCGCGTTGCGTCTAGTGGACGGACACATTATTTGTCGCTGGAATCTTATCGCATCGCGTCTGGTTAGGACACGGTGTAAAGGCACAGGGATAAGTTCAAAGCCTGATTGGTTGGCTTTTATGACGTATATTTCGCGGCGGAACTTACCGAACATCTGAAACAATGCTGCGTTCTGGGCTAAATGCGCTCGTTTGTGCGTAGCTACAAATGATGGTGTTTTGACCAGTTGAGAACTCGTGAGGAGCTTATAAAATGTGTAAAGGAGTCAAAACAGCGGCATGATGTTTTGACTCCTTCCACACAAATGAAGATCCGCTGCGATTCTGACGCCTGTGCCGAACTGTGATGGGCAACATCGCTACTATAGAGTTTGCTTGAGCATTCATTTAGTTTCGTTTGGAAGTGGAGCGAGACCCAAATCTTTTCAGCAGTCTCGGGCCTCTTGTTTGGTGGCTCCAGGGTTCGGATGGCAGCGTTCACACTTATTCAAATGAACCGCTCTAACAGAGTAGTCGCAGCAAGGTTCATTTTAATCCAACCAAACATGCCAAGTGTGAACCCGTATAAGTCATGAACTAAACCAACTAGCTAGAAATGGAACACGACTCATTTAAAAATGTTGATAAGAGATGCGCATATTTTGTAAGAGACTTAAAGTATATTTATGTATTCAAAGATTTTGAGCGCACAAATGGACTTAGTCACGCAGTGCTTCATGGGAATGGGCAAAGAATTTTAAATATTACTCGTTTCGACTCTGATTGGAGAAGTTTTCTGCACAGCATCATGGGTAATGTGGTTTTTCACCTTAAATTCTGCTGTTAAACAGACTTTAAAACCAAGTTGAAATAATGCAGGCTGACGGCTTCAACAGAAGGAAATACCATCGATTAACAACCCTGTAGCTCACGTGTAAGGCTGCTTTTAAAGGTTTTTAGAAAATGTAAGTGAATATTGCCGGCGTTTATGATAATGTATTGCTACTTTGGGGCACATAAATGAATACAACATCTTCCTTGTGATCATTTGGCACCAAACACTGTCGAAAACATGGCTAAGTTATAATTCACTAGAGTCTACTGTAGGGGTGGGGGGAAAAATCGATTCTTAGATGCATCGCGATGCGGACGTGGACGATTCGGAATCGATTCGCAAATGTCAAAAATCGATTTTCAAAAAAAAAATATATATATATATATATAATAACGTAATATATTGACGGAACTCTGAAGCGCGGAAGTGCAGTGCCCGGACCGTCTGTGTTGTGCACATAACAGAGACGCGATGACTGAGCGCGATATCCAAACACCCTCCTCGTTAAAAGCTGACGTGTGGAAATATTTTGGCTTCTGTGAAGTTGAAGGGGGGAAAGGAGCTGGACAAGAGCCACACTATTTGTAAGCTTTGTGGAATAAAACTAAAATATTTCGGAAAACACGACAAATATGAGAAGCCATATGACACGTTTCATATGGCCACCAAAGCACATTTTTGTCCCGCCAAAGCCTTTTTTGATCGGTGAGTGATGTAGAAAAAAATGACTGCTGCGCTTGACAGCCGCGAGCAGAGAGAGAGAGAGAGAGAGAGAGAGAGAGAGAGAGAGAGAGAGAGAGAGAGAGCCCCGGCCGCGCGCGCGCACTCTCACGTCTTCAAACAACACGAGCGCTGTCTTGGTCTCTCTCTTCCTCGCGCATATCAAAATCAATTGACACGATAGTAAAAGGTCGGACGGAAGACCGCAGTTTCACGTCGAGCATTTGGAGATTTTTAGAGATTAGAGACTCTAGGCCTACACTCAAAGAACAACATATCACTAAATTATAAAGGCCTGTCTAGTTAGTGTGTTGCATTTTGTCACTGTGTTCTACAGTAGGCTACAGTATATAAGCTGAAGGCTGCTACAGTAAGCTGTTCAAAAATGTTCATTTTGTCTTCTTAATGATTAAATTGGACAATTTTCTTCTAGAAAGACAAGGTGTTCAGGTGGAGAAAAAAACTTTTTCTTTACCTTGACATGTCTCGACTGCAACCTGCAGTCTTCCTCCACCTGAACAACACCTTGTCTTTCTAGAAGAAAATTGTCCAATTTCTACAGTATGTTGGTTCTGATCTACTTCCTAAAGGAAATAAGCCTTTCATTTATTTGTTATTGTTTAGTTCAACTTAATGAGTCACAACACAATGTGATGTATTCATGTTCTACAGAACATAAGCTACATACACGACACAGAAAGTGCTTTGAGTTGTTGTTACTCAATAAAAGACTTTTTTTTAATACTGCAATCACTTTGTAGTGTATTTTCATTTACTGTTGTGAAATGGAAAATCAATAATCGCTAATCGAGAATCGTTAATAATCGAAAATCGACTGTAATCGAATCGGGACTTCAATAATCGTAATCGAATCGGGAAATCAGACAGATTAACCACCCCTAGTCTACTGTAGTTTAATTCTTGCATTAAAACATTTTGAATCTATTTGGCTAGAAAACTGTAGCAGTTTGATTGAAAAGATGATTTCTCTGATAGAGAAGGAAAAGTTTAATTTCAGAGCAAATACATAAGCACATTATATTCTAATCAAAGATGATGATATATGAGTGCGTCCAGGCATGTACCTGCTGCTCGGTGTGTGTCTCCCTGTCCACAGCGGAGTGAGGCATGTGACAGTGTGTGACCGAGAAGAGCTCTGCGGCTGCCCTGATTGGCCGTGGCGTGGCCTTCCCGATGCTCTGAGACAGGAAACACATCACAGTAATGACATCATGAGTGCTAACAGCTCTCTAACACCCGAGAGTGACTGGCTCTGTACCTCCACTGGGTTTGGCGGCGGCGGCGGCAGACTGGCCACTCTCACGGCGCGCTTCTTCTCCTCCACCAGAGCTTTCCTCCGAGCCTCAATGAGCCTGTCGTCACAATCACATCACATGATCGTGACAAAGCTTTGGCAAGGAAACAACAGTTTTCCATTTGAAGCCACTAGCGGCACAGATCGTGTTCTAGGGCGTTTCTTTGCGCACGGACCTGCAGCGCTGCTGCTCCTCCTCGTGTCTGCGGGCGCTGAGCTCTCGCAGAGCTTCCCGATGTCTCTCTTCCGCTCGCTCCTGCCTCTCCACACTCTTCTCAGCCAACGCCTCCAGATCAGGCTCCTGCACACAACACATTACAGGCATCCTTCACCTGCAACTGAAGACTCACGTTCATGTCGGATTTATGGGGGAAACAACAAACGGAGTGGATGGACAGTTACCACCACAGGGTGGTTGTGTTCACACACTGAGGACACATAATAATGTTCAAAAACGATATAAAAGTGAATTTTGCATTATATGTCCCCTTTAAACACAAGCGCAGGCCGCCTGAAGACGACAGCCTGCCCAGTCCCGGCTGAAGTGTCGTGTTTCAGCCGCTCGCTCACTCACGCTGTCCTGCGCGCTGCGGTGTGCGTGCCCGACGGTCTCCAGGCTGTGCTGGTAGAGCGTGGACAAGGCCTGCAGCTTGAGTGTGTGCTGCTGCTGCCACTCGATCTGCAGTGAGTCCGAGAGCATCTGGAGCTGCTGCTGTCTGCGCTCCTGCACCTGCCGCCGCACCTGCCGCGCGATGTAGCGCTCCTGCTCGCGCACCTGCCCAACACAAACACCGCGTCAGTAGCGCAACACACACACACATAACCACACTTACCGAAATCTGCAACTCTACACACCGTTTCGAAGTAGTGTTTCGAATATCTTCATGCCCTTTAGTCGCGTTTAGAGCTAGGTCATAATATTGATAACGATAGGGCTGGGTGATACTCATTTGAACCGCGCTACACGAACCATTGATCCACTCGGCAACGTGAGCAAATGCGTTAACTCGCTGATCGTGTCGCGCGAGCACTAAACACCGCTGTGAGAAGCGCCTGCATTCAGTGAAGAACACCAATGTCTCCGTGATTTAAACTAGTTTAAGAAACAGAGCGCAATGATACAGTCTGAAGGCTTTGCAATCTACAAATCACCATCATTTACCACAGATTTACTGTAGTAACACTAAATACGCCATGGTATTGTGGCAGAAATGTTGGATATCCATTTAGAATTGTATTATTAATGTAGACATTTATTAAAGGAGTAATGGAATATAATTACAGTATTTTTTGTGATTAAGTTATAGAGTTTGTGCATTTATACATTTTACCATGGTATCGGGGTATCATTATTTACACAATTTATGAAGTAGACATCCTATTCAGAAGTAGTATGAGAAGTTTGGCAGATTTTGATATGAATTCAACCTCTAATAAACACATAAAAAGAAAACGTATGCTTTCGTATAGCTCGCTGCCACCTCAAAAATGGTCAATCTAATATTTTGATGTTAAAGGGTTAGTTCACCCAAAAATGAAAATTAAGTCATTAATTACTCACCCCCATGCTGTACCAACCCGTAAGACCTTCGTTCATCTTCGGAACACAAATGAAGATATTTTTGATTAAATCTGAGAGCTGGATCACTGCTACATAGGCTGCCAAAGGGAGTGAAACTTGACGGCCCAGAAAGTCATTAAAGAAAATGTTTAAATATTCCATGTGCCTACAGTGGCTCCACTATAAGTTTATCAAGCGACGAGAATACTTTTTGTGCGGAAAAAAACAAAAAAAAACAAAAATAACGACTTTATTCGACTATTCCATTGCTTCCTTGTGGGCCTGAGACGAGAGTTCAAGAGATTTCCAGGACGCATGCGCGAGAACTGACCTTCTTCTACTACACAGAGCGCGTCTTACAAGCAGAGGAAGACGCGCGCTGTGTAGTAGAAGAAGAATGTACGCGCATGCGTCCTGGAAATCTCTTGAACTCTCGTCTCAGGCCCACAAGGAAGCAATGGAATAGTCAAATAAAGTCGTTATTTTTGTTTTTTTCCGCACAAAAAGTATTCTCGTCGCTTGATAAACTTATAGTGGAGCCACTGTAGGCACATGGAATATTTAAACATTTTCTTTAATGACTTTCTGGGCCGTCAAGTATCATTCCCTTTGGCAGCCTATGTAGCAGTGATCCACCTCTCAGATTTAATCAAAAATATCTTCATTTGTGTTCCGAAGATGAACGAAGGCCTTACGGGGTTGGTACAGCATGGGGGTGAGTAATTAATGACTTAATTTTCATTTTTGGGTGAACTAACCCTTTAATATTTAAAACATTTTCAGACCCTTTTTTCTAAAATGATTGAATGGATGCCATCTTTTGAACTCTTGGCATGAAAACAAACTGAGGTTTCTACCCTTCTTTCATGCTTTTTCATGTTCATCACTATTTCAAAATAAAGGTCTGAGCACACCTTGGGAGTAAAATATTCATTTTCCTTGAAAATGAGTCTCCAAATATGGAAACTAGAGATTGTAAGCTTTCAAATGATATATAGTTTGTCCAGATTAGTTTAGGTTTAGTATAGGATATTACGGTTTAAAAAATGTAATAACTTTGGGCCCGCCGGTGACACTTAAGGAGAACTCTGGGCAATGTTTAAGTTAATCTTGATCGTTATACCTTTGTGAGTACTGTCTATAGAACAAAAAACGAACCGGATTGGTGCTTGCAACACGGAGCTGTTCCCGCAAATGCCCAGAGCTCCCACTCAGCTAAAACGGCAGTTATGGGGGCATAGACATTTTAATTGCATTCTGTGTCTGTTAAGGTTATCATGATCTAAATGTATGCTACTACGGAAGACCAATGGTTCATTTTAATAAAACTCAAATCAGAATATTACATTTTACCATAAAGAAAATGAAGGTTGTTACAATTTTTACAGATGTTACCATTTATGTCAATGAACAATTTACATCTGCATCCAAACTCAAGCTACTATCAAATGTGCATTTCTAAGAGACAAAACGTGTAATATTATTAATATTGCACACAAACCTGTTTCATGTCATGACTAGAAACAATATCACCCGTTAGAACAAGCAGACACTAAGAAATTAATTTTCCTATTAAGGCATTTATTTTGTCAAAGAAAAATTACCGGAAAAGTTTAAAGAACTCAAAAACGTGAAGCGTTTGTCATGTTCTGACAATATCCAGTCGTTTAAAACCACAATTTTGGTTTCTACAAACTTCTCTTAGGAGCAAAAATCTGCCTTTAGACTTGAAAGAAAGAGAGATTTGACATTTATCATATTAATTATCGATATCGACTGATATGGAAAATGTTATTGTGATCATTTCTGGCCACATCTCTTCGCTGTGCAACGAAACAATCATGAGCCGAGATTTGCTATTTTGCTTGACGCGAGTGCGTTTTATGCATGCGGAAACAATTGGACATACTTTTAGTAGTCGTAGGTTGTGTTATTTATTCATTATCTGGTGATAGTGAGGATTATGAAACCAGTAAGGGGTTGTTTAAATCATGACAGTGTGGTGTGCGGCATCGGCCACTCATCTCTGACTGACAGCTGAAGACTTCCTAAACTAACACTGAAACAAGAATTGTCTGTAAAACCTGCTTTGAAACTATGTATAGCCGCGTTTCCACCGCAATTGCCCGGAACAATTTGTCCCAGGAACTTTTTTCCCAGGAACTTTTTTTGCCCCAGACCGGTAGCTTTCTGCGTTTACATCGCGGTCTAAAGTACCGGGTAAACTGCGCGCGACTGCTCATTGCTTGCTTGTGACGGACAGTAGACTGTAAAGGACAGTAATCAGTTTTGAGCGCCACATTTATAATAAATATGGAAGAGATTCACACTGTGCTGCAGTTGTTTGAGATGTATTGGTTTACTAACCAGGTAATTAACAAAACGGCAGAAAAGAGACGAGCACTGATACTAAAGCGTGTTCAGAAAGCTCGTAATGCTAACGTTAGATCTAAAATTAGACAGCGTATGTTATCAGCTATTGCGGACATTGACCGTGAGAAGGCTGGGACGAACGCGCAGAAAATTTCTCTTCCGCAAATACGCTTAATAAAGCCTGAATCTCGTCGTCGGTCCAGCTGCCTTTTTTATTTTTATTAAATTCCATATTTGCAGACAGACAACTCTTACTGCATGGAACTTCATTACTGCATGAAGCCACGAACTGCAATAGATTCTAAAAATTCCGGTTAAAATAAAATGCTGCGCGGAGTTATCCAATCATAATGCGGCGTGAACACAACCAATCAGCATGTTCAGCGCACAAGCCCCACCCGCGAAAGTTCCTGAACTTTGAAAAAGTACTACCTCGCGAGCAGGGACTTTCGGAGGGGGAAATATCTACCCGGAACTTCATTTAGACCCTGGTTCCTGCGGTGTAAACACACCGAGTACCAGGCCAAAGTTCCTAGTTCCTGGGTAAAGTTCCTGCGGTGGAAACGCGGCTTATTGTAGTAGAACTAAAAATGTTTTCTTGAATTGTATGGAACGATCCCACTATTCCTGCTATTAGGTGATGTTTATCACCATTTATAAAACAGGGTTAAAGTTTCGAAAGTATCGCTCCCCCATAAACAGATTGCCTGAGGAGCTTGGAAAGCAGGATGGCTTAATGTGCACAGTACATATACTTCTTTATTATATTTACTGGGATGATCAAATTGGGGTCTCGGGAAACGATTAGAGAAAAACTGTAAAAAATGTATACAAAGAAAGGCAATTTTCATATAAATAAGGAGGGATGAATGAAATCTATAACAATTCACTCACCCTCGAGTTGTTTCAAACATGTATGAATGTCTTTCTTCTGCTGAACACAAAATATTTTTTCTTCATTTTTTTTTCCTACTAGTATGGAATTCAATGGGGTCCATCAACTGTCTGGTTCATTCTTCAAAATATCTTATTTTGGGTGTCTTCAACAACTTGAGGGCGAGTACATGACAGAATTTCCATTTTTAAGTGAATTATTACTTTAAAATAAGCAATTAAGAGATACACACAGTAGGCCTACATAAAGTAGGGGGGGACATCAATGGACTAAAATACATTTCCAAATTATATTTTACACACATTTATAGTATTCCTTCCACAGTATACTTTGGGTCTTTATAAATATAAATATATAACTTAGCTGTCTTTTTAACTTTAGGATGGGGTTCCTCGCAGGAGAATGCAATGCTCATATAGGCATCCAAACGATTGAACAGCCCTGCTCTAACGTTAGCGCTCAAGCCAAAGCCACTCGATATAAAGCTGTAACTAAAGTGTGTGTCAGAGTTGTGTTTATGGTGTATATGTATGTGCATGTAAATGCCCCAGACCTGCTGCAGGCGCAGTTTCCTCCGGCTCTCCAGCTCCTCGCGCACCAGCTGCGCCTCCTCATTCGGACTGAGCCTCAAAACACTCGCTTTCCTCCTCATTCTCTCAGATCCTCTCTCACACACACACAGGCTTTCTGACCAATATGATCATAGTTCACTGAAGGAAGGCTTTCAGTCGCCGCGGACAACAGGAGCACAGGCTGACGAGAGACTTTTGTTTGATCGCCTCCATGTCAACACAACCAACGGCTGCGTCTAACCTGCTGCGTCACTTCCGCTATTTAAACCTCCCGCGGGACAGCTTGGAGATGCAGTGTTTTTTAAATAAATAAAAATAACAGAACGATTTTTTTGTGCTAAAGCTCTGATACATATTCAAACAGACACAAAAACAAAGACTTGGCAACATAAACTAGACCATAAACCATTAAACCAAAAACTCAACACAGCGCAATTACAACAAACAAAGCTAAACAAGAGACAATAGGCTTGTTTGAGATGAGCAAAATCTGCGCAGAACCGATCACCGGTGATCACCGCGAAATGCATGCCGGTTAGAAATGTGTCCGAGTGCGGTCCGCCTTGCTCTGATGTCATGCTGACGTATGTCAAAAAACTCTTGCGACCGCAAGGCACACGTGTCGGATTCTGCAGTCGCGCGCAGTTGCTCTCCACCGACTGCGCTGATCAAAAGCATGATGGGAAACGACTTGCTGACGACACAGCTTAATGCTCATTGGTTTAAACCAACCGTGATGTATTGTTCTCTTTTAAAATGTTTGATTTAAAACTCTGATATCATGTTTTATGTGTATAAATTATGTGTGGATATTCCAAACTCTCTGACAGTGCGATCTATGTGATGTAATTTTTTTAATTTTTTTAATAAAAACACGTCTGTATTAAAGAAAAAAATATTGATAAACACGTAGGCCTATTTAAAATGGAATTAAATAAGTACTTTGGGTGTCTTGTTCATTATATTTATTTTCATATAAAAAGCAACAAAACTTAAAGGAGCTGTATGTAAGATTGTTGCCAAAACTGGTACTGCAATCACTTTCAAATTACTGTAGAGTGGTGTATCCCCTCCCCCTCCCCCCTGACTCAAGGTTGCCAGATAGGCTGCAGGATCCAGCAGGAACGTGACGAGCTGCAGCTGTGGTAACTAGAGCAGAGCTGGCAACCCGGATGCCGCAACACTACTGACTTCGTGATTGGTAGATAGGTGGAGGGTGGAGCATCAGACCAAAACACAACATGACAACATCAACATCAGTTGAGGGCTGCAACTGCACTTTTTAAATGACAATATCCTGGCCGGACTACTGTTGTCAGCAGGGCCGTAGCTAGAGGATTCGGGGCCCCCTGAAAAAATATTGAACAGATAACACATAACAGAAGATGGTGATGTTGTTGTAAAACCTTTATTTTAAAAGTTAAATGTTTATATAAAAATTACAACTAATAAAAACTAACAAAAAAGCAAGAAATTGTTAAATAATAATAAAACCCATTTTTAAAAAGTATATATTTTTTCCCCATCAGTCTGTTATAATTCATAAATCAAAAAGTAAGAGTAATTTAGAAAATTGACAATAAAAGAGCAAATTGACAAGAATGCAGTCTAATTCAAAAAATAAAACCATTCATTGTCTTATTTTTTAATAAAGATAATATGGAACTGGTAATATTATTAAATAAAGCGAATACATTTATTCATCCAAGTGCAGTATTCGTGTTTTCTCGATGTTTTAAATATCATCAGCCGGCAGGTCAGATGCATAATGCAATGCGTCGTGACTCGTGTAATTTTTTTTAAACTCTAGTTACAATAGTGTAAAAAGACAGGAATTTAGACCACATAATCATTCGGTCGATTGTGGCGCGCACCGATAATAAAAAATGACTGTACACGGCAGACTGTAGATGGAAGTTTTCTAATTCCCAGCGAAATAACAATATATAACCGGTCTTTAAGAACGTCTTGATCGACTGGGATACAACCACTCTCCTTGCCTCCCTCTCCGTCTTTTCCTGGCATTTCTGGTTCCCTGATTTATTTTTTATTTTCCCTGCGTTTACACTTGGCATTAACATGCGACCTGTATCTGGATGTTGTCCACATACACATTGAAAAGACAAGTGTAAACGCACATCTGATCGGAATGTTATCCGATCAGCGTGTCCCGGTTCGGAGGTAGTCGAGGACGCATTGTGATCGGATCTCAGGCCATGTTTACACGGAAACGATCTGAAGAGAAAACGCAAAAGTGGCGTTTCGTTTTCACTTTTTATTCTGCGTTTAGACGAGCGTTATGGGGGGGGGGGGGGGGGGGGATCTGCGTGCATATGGAGACGCAAAAGTGTTAGAAATGCGATGTAGTATGCACTCCAGGCGGCTAGGTGGCAATGTGAAGCACTGCCACACAACAACAACAAGTCCGTGCGCCTGCGTACAACCTTCCTTCTACTTCTCTCCCTAGTAGCGCAAAATTGAAAAGACTCTTGGACGTTTATCAGAGCTGCTAGGGCAACTTGAAGGTCCGACGTATGGAAATAATCCGACATGTTGGTTGTTATTTTCCTGTACTAGCGCATGCCTGTGACGTAAATGCGTACGCGACGAGAGCAGCCATGAGCAGATTTGCGTTTTTACCCGTTTAGACGGAAACGCGACGGTGGAGCGTTTTTAAGATTTCCACTTTGGAGGGTGGTTTCACTTTTTTGCGTTTTTAAGCCCCAAAAACGCCGTCGCCGTGTAAACGAAAGGCACATCCGATAAAATATTATTACGTTTTCACCCGGAATCGTTTTCGTGTAAACAGGGCCTCAGTGTAATGTAAACGCAATCCAGCCAACGTGCCTGCATTTACAGGTGAACGTAATTTAAATCCCCGCCCAGTCTCCCCGCGTGACTGTCAGAAAGTAATGGCCAGACGCAGTTTAGACACGAAATTAAACTTATTTGAACAATAAACGTCAATCTTTTAAACAGTTTATTTATGTGTGTCATTTTTCATTTTAATTGTGCAACATTATCTGAACGAGGCGATCGCCTGTACACTCACAGTCAGTAATGAGATCTTAATGAAGAGCTGCTTTGACAGAGGAATAATCGGAATCGGAATTTTTTAATGTTTTAAATGTTGAATGTTTTTATTGTTTTAGCATGTTTATCAATCTCCCATTTCTGTCAATAGTCATTGCACGCAACCTTAAACCCAGATGATCGATGATGTGACTTGTTTAACATGATCAACCCAGTTATTTTTGTAAGATCAACTCTGGAAGTATTCCTTCTTTCAAAAAATATAATTTGATCTAATTAATGGAGATTGCATATGAAAGTAAAGTGAGTGAGTGAAAGCAATTGGGATGTTGTTTAATTTGTATCATCTTTAGGCTACTATTAATCTGGTGTCGTGCCACAGACCTGATTTAAATATTATGCGGAAACAGAAATTCGATCGGTTATCCAGATACAGAGGCTGCTTAATGTGAACAAATATAAACGCACCATGTCCTGATTGCCTAATGATCCGATCTGCTTGATCGGATCACGGTGATCGCATGTTAATGCCAAGTGTAAACGCAAGTCTCCTGCTCTTCCACCAAGTTCATCGTTAACTTCAGGCTGCCGCCTCAACTCTGATTGGTTCTGTTCACGAGCTGGGGTGGGACTTACAATTTTATTGGGTCCATCTGATGTTTGTCACTGACTCTGACTGAATAATTAATAAATACTTTAGGTCGGACTAAACCATTTTTATGGAGGTAAGAGAAGCAGATATAAAAATATTTACCCAAATTGCACGTTTTTGTGGTTTTCATTTAAATCTCAGGCATACAACTAATATAAATATTAGAATTATTCATACTACAGGGGCCTAAATAGTATAACTGCTGGATTTTGTGGGGCCCCCTGGGCAGCGGGGGCCCCTATAATTGTCACCACCTTTCACCCCACTAGCGACGGCCCTTGTTGTCAGTGATATAAGTATTTGAAATGTACATGATTTCTTAATGTCTAGTGATATATCAGGGTCATTTTATGATTAATTGAAATACATTTCTTACATACAGCTCCTTTAAATTACATCCAGTTTATTAGCAACACCGTGCACGGGCGTGAATTGCAGCCGACACAGACACTAATAAACAATTAAAATGTCTCCTTGCTATATTTGAAACATTCATAATCATTAGGCCTACTTTTGCCGGTTCCTTGTGACAGCTTTTGCGTTATTGACCCTCTGGTTACATGAACACGGCGTCACCACCGAATCAGCACCCGAAAACATCGGGATTTTTTTAGACAATAATCGCACGACCTATTCGATATTCTATAATTAAATCAACAAATCGAATATTCGAAAATCGTGACTCATCCCTACTGCTTTATTAATGTATCCAGTGTAAAACCCGGCATAGGCGTAATTCTATGGGGGGACACTTAGGGCATATATCTCAGACTGTCCTTTCCATCACATACAATAATCTGTTTCATTTTTGGCAGGAGCGATGGTGGGGATATGCATGTCCTCAATGCATCCAACCACATTGGAAATCCTAAAGGAAAATCTAATTATAAGGTTACTTTCAGAGGTCACAGCAAGATGTTATCCAATGAACGTCATTTATCAGATTACCTCATTTAAACCGGTCTCTCCACCACTATCCTACAGAAACTTCTCTTTGATGGATCTCATGAATTTGTGTCCAAGAAACAACACAAAAACTCTCAGAAAGAGCGTGAGAGCGAAGCACACTTTCCTCCCGCTCTGATACAGCAGCTTTACTAATGTGCTCTCTCCGATGTTATATGAAAAATGTGCAATGAATGAACTGCAAAAAATACTTTTCTTACTTAGCATTTTTGTCTTGTTTCCAGTGAAAATATCGAAAGATTATTCAATCAAAATGCATTTACTAAAAGAAAAACTCTGGGTTTACATAAGAAAACCTGCTCCCGACCAGGTTAGTTACCATGGTAACTGACTCGAGTATAAGTTCTCTTACGAGGGGTTCTCTCGTATTGCGTAAGTTTAGCTTACGCTACGGGTAAAGTTCATCTTTGCTCGAGATATTGAAGCCAAAATTATCCTTAATTTTGTATATATTGTCAACGCAGTGCAGCAGCTGCAGACCTAGAGCAGGCTGTCTAGCGTGCTCATTGGCTGCCTTGCGGCAACTGCAGCAGCCTACCAGTGAGCCTGGCGTGACGTCATGCCTAATGGTGGCGCTTCGCGCCCACTACGCGTCACAGC